GCCCTGCTTCGGCCCCGGCTGAGCTCCTGTTAGGGAGGTAAAGGCTTCCTGCTGCTGTCATTAGTTAGTTCTGGTTTTTGTTTGTTTGTTTTTCCATTGCTTGCTGATTTTCCTTAAGTTTTCCTCCACTATGCATCTGGGTGTGCTGTCTGTCGGTCTGCCTGTCTGTCTGCTGGCAGGGTACTCATTGACACCTACATTTCCCCTCACCTTTGTGCCCACGGTGGCATTCCAATGGATATATTCATTAACAGTCAGTAGTGATGTGTGCCACACAGCCCTTGTCAGCAATACATTGTCAAGATTTGCTAGTGGAGGTGGAAGGATGGCTCAGTGGTTAAGAGCACACACTGCTGTTGCAGAGGGCCTGAGTTCAATTCCCAGTGGCTTTGTTGGGTGACTCACAACTGACTCTGGGGGATCACCGCCCTCTTCTGGCCTATTCGGGAACTGCGTGCGTGCATGGGGCTGGGGTGGGAGAAGCAGCCAGCAGAGGCAGATGACGCCAAGAGTGAGGGCAAGAGTCAGGCTGGGCAGGAGAGGCTGCATCGCCTCACAGGGGCTGCCAGCCCTCAGGGACAGCCATGTCTACCACACCAGACACAGTCAGGACTTACTGAGGGGGCCAGCTGTGACAACAGTTGTTGCCAGAGAACAGCACGATCTCCGTTGTGTACGCGCATGTATCTGTGGACACGTGTGTGTATACCAAACACACACAAGTAAGTGCTCATTCCCACAGGGACACATGTCTCACACACACAGAAACATGCACATGTATATGTACATAGGTTAAGTCTCTCCCTCTCTCTCTGTTTCATGCACGCTCGCACACACACACCTTTTAAGAAGAGAAAGGAATTACAGTTGCGTGTCAAGTTTGCCATCCTGACTGCAGATAATTCAGCTTGCCCCATGCACTGAGAGCTCTTTCAAAGGAAAGCGTGGCTTGTCTGTTTTGGGGAAGCTGTGGGCCTCTCTTTAGAAACCGGGAGGCCGGTGTGGATTACTATGAGCTTCAAAGCCACAATGTTTCTGTTGTTTTCCTGCCTCTAGTTCTCCTTTTTCTGAGAAGCTGTAGTTTTCACTCCTGAGAAACAACAACCCCAGCGCAGAGGAGTAAATCAGACCATCTCCCTGCAGCTGCCAGGAGCCCTTAGCCCCAGCCCTGTGTTCCCAGACGGGGTGGAGAGGCAGGGCTTGTTCTGGTGCTGGGTTCCTGGAGGAAGGCCTGGCCTGGTGTGATAGGGAGAGTGTGTATGTGTGTGGCTGTGGCTGCTCTAGGGAGTGAGAGGATGAGAGAGCGCAGGTTCAGGCCCCAGCTTTAGGTGGGCAGGGGATCTCTGCTTATCAAAGACCCCAAGAAAGCCACCCAGCCAGGCTGGTTGTCCAGAGGTCCAGGGACAATACAAGTGTGTTGGGGGAGCTCTTCAGAGCAAGACTGTGCCTTCAGCTCCAAACACACAGCAAGTCCGGCACTTTGTGGGGCCGCTGACTTCCAGATAATCCCAGCAGCTCTCAGTGCAGATGGGAAGGCAGAGCTGACCGATGAACTCTCCAGGAAAGGGCAGGCAATGTAAGTAGCAGGAGGCTGGCAACTGGGAAGCCAGTGCAGGCTTGCCCCATGGGAGTTCTTCAGACACCCATGTCTGGGCTTTTAGTGTTTCCTGGGAAGACACATCAAACTTCATTTACATGGAGGGTGGTCGAAGTCCAGGGTAGATGCAGTGATTCAGCTGGCATGCTCTTACGGAACTGTCCTGCAAGACGCATGGCGCACAGCAGACATGTGCTGAACACGTCCCCTGGAAGATCAGCCAGTGAGTGCTCTGAGCCACTGGATCACCTCTCCAGACCCTATGTGCATCTTTCCTCTCTCCTAGGTGGCCTCCTTATTTCTATTTATTCATTTTGAGATGGGTTATTACAGTGTAGTCTTAGCCATTCTATAATTTGCTAAACTGACTAGGCTGGCCTTGAACTGACAGATATCTGTCCCCCTCAACCTCCTGAGTCTGAGTTCCTGGATTAAAGACATGAGCCAATATGCATGTCCTGAACACTTCCTTTATGAATCTTCTCCCCCACCCCCTTCTTTTGGTTCTCTATGGCTTTTTCATAATAGAAGAAAAAAAAATCTAAAGGCTGGCAAGAGTGGCTGGGTGTGTGTGTGTGTGTGTGTGTGTGTGTGTGTGTGCACATGTGGAGGTCAAAGGTCAATGCAGGTATCTTCCTCAACTGCTCTCCAACTTATTTTTTGAGACAAGGTCTCTCAGTGAACCTGGCGCTAAACTGGCTGGCCAGCAAGTCTCTCTGCTAGTATTATTGGCAAACACAGCCATGCTGGGCCTTTCACATCAGTGCTGGGAACCTGAACCAACTCTTCCCGGACAAGCACTTTACTGAGAGAGCCATCTTCACAGCCCTGTAAGAACCATCCTATTCTCCCTTATCAAGGAAGGTGTTTCCTGGGAACAGAGCAAGAACTGAGGTCCTTCCTCGGGCTTAGCAGCAAGCACCTTCACCCACTGAGCTATCTCCCTGGCCCTAAGTGTCTGTTCTGGGAGACTCCCTAGTGGCTCCTGATTCTCCCGAGACACCTCCGTGATGCTCAGGGCTGTTCTGAGGCTGCAGTGACCCTGAGAGGGTCCCAGCTTGCAGCATGGAGCTTAGCTGTCCTTGTCTGGCAGGGGCTTAAGCTGTTGGCTCTTCCCACACTGTGCCTCTTTAGATTCCCTCCTCCTGCCCCTGCTACAGCTCAAGGCCATTTCCCCACTGGGCTGCTGGCACCAACCCTTGTTCCTAGCCTTCCCCTCCCCTTTACAGTTCCAGCTCCTGACTTTGACTCACTGCAGATGAGAACTTTGGGCCTGCAATTTGTAGAGAATACCCATATTTGGAGTCTCTGGGGGAAGCTCTCATGTACCCAACCTGCTGATGCCTATGGAATTTGGGGCACAATGAGATTGACATCACATTAGGCTAATTTTGAGGGTTTTAAATCATATTTGCCTTTGCTAACTCCCATTCCCTTTATTGTTATTTGTTTAATGCTTTTTTCTTTTCGGAGACAGGAGTTTTGCTCTGTATCTTAGGTTGGCCCCTAACACACTTCTGCAGCCCAGGCTAACCCTGAAATTTACAGCAACCTCCTTGTCCCCACCTTGGGAATGCTGGGATTTATAGGCGTGTGCCACCACACCAAGCTTCCATTTTGGTTTCAGTTTTTTTTTTTTTTTTTTTTTTAAATTTCTTGGTTTTAATTCATTCTTTGAGAATTACAGACATTTGTGTGACATGTTTTTTTTTTAAATAAACAACTCTAGAGATCATATTAGGTAAGGAAAAGCATACAGCTACACAAATACATCCACATAAACACACAAAGACATACATACATACATACAGACACACACACACACACACACACACACACACACACACACACACACACACAGCCAAATGGAAAGAGCTGGAGACTGGTTTGTTGTTTTTAAACAGCTATTTTCTTTTATTCTTGTGTGTGAGCTTTTTGTGTACAGGTATGTGTATGTGCACAGTATTTTATGCCTGGTACCCACAGAGGCCAGAAGAAGGTGATGAATCCCATAGACCTGGAGTTATACACAATCCTTAGCTTCCATATAGTGCTGAGAACTGAACCTTGTCTCCTGGAAAAAAGACAAGTGATTTTAACTGATGAGCCATCTCTCCAGTCCCTGGGTAGAACATCTTGGTAGGGAGACCTGAAATATCCCCTGTTAGCACATATATAGTGGCTCACAACTGTCTGCTGCCCTATCTCCAGGGGATCCATTGTCCTCTTCTGGTTCCTTTGGGCACCAGGAATGCATGTAGTGCCCCGACATACATCCAGGTGGACACACACAACAAACTAAAAATGACCAAACTCTTAAAAATGAGTTGGCATTATTTTGCTGGAAGAGGGAACCTGTCTAGGCTCCAGTCAGTAGCCTCCCATCCCCTGCTCATGCAGGCAGTCATGACTGAACTCAGTGGGCCACAGAACAAAACACAAACAAACCCCATGAATATAGGAGGGGGATTGGAGAAGAAGGAGAAGAAGAAGGAGAAGAAGAAAAGGATTTAGTGGGAGTAGAAGTTGGGCAGGAGTGATGCAAGTGGAAATACAATACGCTATATACACATGAAACTGAGAAAGAATAATGAATAAGCAAGAGCAGCAACAAAAGAATTGTCATGATTATTCTGCTTCATAGATGAAACCCAGAGGGGACAATGATTCCACAACACGCTCAAGGGCACACTCTTTAGCCAATGACAGAAATGGGGGCGGGGCTGGCTCAGTGGGTAAAGGTGCTTGCTGCCAAGCTTGATGACCTGAGTTTGATCCCAAGCCCAGCGTGGTAGAAGGAGAGAGCTGACTCCCACAACTTGTCCTCTAGTGTCATGTGTGCACACAGTAGATAAATAAATAAAATTATAAAACGACGGAGACAGGATTTAAGTTGGCATGACTCTGGCATCTATGCCTTGAGTGGTGGCCTTGCTTCTGAATTAGGTGAACACTTGATAGCTTAAGTAGTGCTTAAGGAAGTCAGAACATCAAGTCTGGAGGGATAGTGGTACTCTGGATTTCAGGAGGAGGCCTAAAGTCAACTGCTGAGGTAATTGTTGAGAGAGACAGTGTTCATCTCTGCTCCTTGAGTGGGGGCACTTACAGCCTCAAAGTTGATAGCCACAGCAAAGGGTAGCTATGGAGATCAAGGAAGTGTGCTAACTAAGAAATGGGGTGGGTAAAACAGGGATTTTTCTGGGCTGGGTTGTCACAGCAATTGGCTTTCCTGAAGGTTCACCATGAAATCCTGATCTCATTAAGGGCAGGCTTCTGTGGTGGATCTGTCCAATCTCTGAAGTGGCTCTTGCTCATCTTCCTCTTTTTTTAAACTGGGAAGTAGCTTAGACTGAGAAGGAAGTAGATGAGAGGAAAACAGACAGAACTTGAGCAAGGAGGCGGTTGCCAGGGCTCTGTTACACACATCTGGGTCAGAGCTGCCGCCAGGAGACTGCACCCATCGAGTCAGGAACATGTGGCTGTGCCCAGCTCTGCTCCTTCTCTGCCTGCGAGGTGAGTGGGGCTACCAGTCTGTGAACCTGATTTTGCAGAGGGTGGGGGAGAGTAGGAATCCTGGGTTCAAGCCAGAATCGAGGTGTCAGCAGAAGGGCAGGGAACACACCCATTCACTCATCTCTTTTTCTATCTGTATACTCCAAAATCCATCCAGGAACTCTATTAACCTGTATTGAGTAGCAACTGCATGCCTGGATTGTTCTGGCTCTTTTAACTATAAACAAGTTCCTCAGTCAAGGGAATTCTATTTGGATGAGACAACCAATTAATTTTACCCAAGTGTGGGCCCTGCTACAACACACAGCATCCATGTAGAAATAGACTATGTCAGGGACTCCCAGCTTTTCTCTCAGAGGAATGGAGGCTTCGTTGAGGCTTCATGGAAGTCAGTCTTGAAGGATGAATAGCTGTCAATCAGAAAAGCAATAACTTATATTGAGTGTAGATGGAGATCTTAACGGCTGTAGAGAGTGCAGACTCAGCAGCGATGGTCTTAATGTTTAGTTTAAAGAGGTTGGAAAGGTGTGTAAGACATAATGCACAGATAAGTGTGAAAGTGTGCACCTGCAGTCATAGCATGAAGGAGGTTGAGGCAGGAGGCTTGCAGGTTGTAGGCCTGCCTTGGTTGCACAGTGAGAGCTCCCCTTTAAAAAAAAAAAAATCTTAAAAAGATACTTAGACCAAGCATGGTGGTACACGCCTTTAATCCCAGTACTTGGGAGGTAAGGGCAGGGTGGATCTTGGTGATCGAAAGACTAGACTGATTTGCATAGTGAGACCCCATCTTAAAAAACAAACAAAAACGGAGACATTTTCCTGTGGGAAATAGTTGAGGATGAAAATTAGAGAATCATCCTTGCAGATGGTTGGGGTTTTTTGTTTGTTTGTTTGTTTGTTTTGTTTTTTAATGGACCCTCACAGAATGTAGAACTTAAAGACTAGGATTTAAAGGGAGGAGACCAGCTGAGTGGCTCTGATCACACATAGCTTGCTTTTCTTTTCTCTTTTTAATTATGTGTGTGCATGTGCGCGTATGTATGTGGTTGTGGGTGGAAATGAGAGGTCAGAAGCTAGTTCTGTAGAATCCATTCTCTTCACTTTTATAGGGATTCTTTGTTTTGTTTTGTTTCTTTTCACATTTCCAACAGATTTATTTTCAAAGGGATGGCCTAAGGGAGAAAAACAAAAACAAACACAAAAACAAAAAACAAAAACCAGGGTACAGAAGTATGGACTAGAAAATAAATACAAAATGTAAGCTGTTTTACTAATTATTTTATAACCATAAACTCGTACAGAGGATGACGCCCTGTACAAAACACAACAGATTTGAACGAGGTTTTCCCTTAGCAAGGCAGAAGAGTCAGTCTTTGGTGTTTGGAATTTAGGATGCAGTCCTTGTTTTTGGATGGATCGCTGGGTGTTTGGCATAGTCCACGATTTTAATCAGATTTGAACAGAAGAATGGCCACCTGACCCAGGTAGAAGTAGATGAAGTGTTTGGTTTCACGTGTCACATGACTACCGAAGTTCCGACCCACAATGCTGTGCCAGGTGGGGTCGTACTTCTTGTCTAACTCCTTCTTGATAGGGGTCGCAATATCTTTTCTATGTTGTACTTCTCCAATGCCTGAGTAGCGCACTCCACAGAGTCCTGTTGCATCTCTTCGGACATGTCTGCATTTTTGGTCACCGCCTTCTGGTTGCTGTGGAGCTGGAGCCAGCCGGCTGCTGCCAGCTCCAGAGGAAGGTTCTGGCCCCGCTCAGGCAGCAGAGGAGAGCCGGTCGCTACTGAAGCCATGGCACATCTCCTTTATAGGGATTCTTAAAACCTAACTATGATGGCCAGGGTTGCACAGCAAACCACTGAGACATCTTGAAGTCCCCAAAACATAGTTTTCTCATGAATGAAGCGAGAAGAGACAGGATGATCTCCAAGATCTCTCACCAGGAGTTGCATCCCACACCTGCAGTCTCGGTGCTTGGGAGGCAGAGCCAGGAGGATCAGAGGCTTAAGGACATCCTTAGCTATGTAGCTAGTTGCAGGCCAGCTGTGGCTACATGACAGCCTGGTTTAAAACAACAAAACAATATCTAGGTCTTTAGGCTAGTAAGACAATTAGATGCATAGTATCACACACTGCCCTGAGTGAAGGTGATGATGATGGTGGTGATGACGGTGGTTAGGATGGTGAAGATGATCATGGTGATGATGATGATGTACTCTTAATTCTGAAATTACTGGAGTAGATTTTAGAAACAACCATGATCGCAGCTGCCTTGTCCCAGCCCTCAGGCAATGACTATGGGCTTTTCCCTTCTCTACAGTAAATGGCAGCTTAAAGTCAGCTATGATGCGGATATTGACACCGGAAGCAGTTTCCCCTCCCTTCTCCCTCCTAGTACCTCCCCCTACATCCCCACTGCCCACCCCCAACCCTTTTGTGCACGGTGAATATATGTTGCTCTCATTAGTTGATAATAAAAGCTGCTTTGATCTATAGCAAGGCAGAATACAGCTAGGCAGGAAAGCCAAACTGAATACAGGGAGAAAGAAGGGTGAAGTCGAGAGAGACACAAGCCAACGAGATGCCGGCGGACTGGTAAAAGCCATGGCCACGTGCCAAAACGTAGATTAATAGAAATGACTGAACTTAAATGTTAGAGCTAGCTAGTAATAAGCCTGAACTATAGGCCAATCAGTTTGTAATTAATATTAAGCCTCTGAATGATTATTTAGAAGTGGTTGAAAGACTGGGAGGGACAGAGAAAACTCCTCTTGCAACTCCTCAGTTTCTATTCAGAAAAGGGCGGGTCTCCTATGGGTAGCAGAAGAGCATGGTATAAGAAGTTGCGGTAAGACTAAGCACCTCACCTTGTATTAAGGCTGGGCAAGGCGACCCAGTATAAGGAACAGGGTCTCAAAAGCCAGCAAAAGAGTCAGAGTCAATCCCTGCTCCCACTGTTAGGAGTCCCACAAGACCAAGCTACACAACTATAACACACATATGCAGAGGGCCCAGGTCAGTCCCAAGTAGGTTCCCTGGTTGTTGGTTGAGTCTCTGAGAGCTCCTATGAGCCAGGTTAGTTGATTCTGTGGGTTTTCTTGTGATGTCTTTGGCCCCTCAGGCTCCTACAATCCTTCCTCCCTCTCTTCAGTAGGATTCCCTGAGCTCAGCCTAATGATTGGCTGTGGGTCTCTGCATCTGTTTCCATCAGTTGCCGCTGGAAAGCCCTCTGATGACAACTGGGCTAGGATCCAATCTATGAGTATAACAGAATATCATTAGGCATCATTACATGGACATTCTATTTTTCTCCAGTTCTATTTGGTTCTATCCCAGGTCTCTGGGCCATCCAGCTTCTGGATCCTTGCAGTCCAGGCAGAAGCCGAAACTTCTATTCACTGTGTATTTTATACTCCACTCTTTCAAGTTAGTAATGTTATTAGAATTTCATTTGATTGACCCTGATGACTGCACACACTTATGAGTTACAATCTGTTATTTTGATGTATGTATACATTTTGCATTGTTCAAATTACTTAGCAAAATATAAATGAGCCAGGCAGTGGTAGTGCACACTAAAGTGTGGTAAATAAGAGTCTGGGAAACAATAGGCTGATGGATGTTTATTTGAGGTGAAATTACTTACACCAGAAACAGATGACTGCCGGCAGGTTCCCATTCCAAGGATGCCTCTGGATGCTCTCTGTCTCTGACCAGGAAGTAAGAGAGAGAGCTGGGGTCCAGGACCCCAGACCTAGTCCCCCCAGGTCACACCTGCCACTGTCCCCACGCTCCAATAGGCAGGGTGGATGTCTCACTACAGAATACCTTTAATCCCAGCACTTGGGAGGCAGAGGCAGGCAGTAGGTGGTATCATTGGGACTGGCAATGCCATTTTAGCCTATGAGCCATTTGTGACCTAGGCAGAGAAGGCAACAATGTCTCCATTTTACAGACACACAGTAAGAGGCAACTAAAGGAATCCCCCTCCTCCATACAGTGGAACAGTGGGGACTTCCTCCTGAACCCTGTATTAGGCACACATCACACCCGAACACCTGTTTTCACAGAGAGGTCCTTTGTTAAGCGGGGAAGAAAAGTTAGGGGAGACAGCGGCAGATGACCTTGCGGGTGTATATTTTAGAGGAGAAGGGAAGGTTGGTGTCCAAATATCCTAAGGTGTGATGGTAAAGGAGACAGAGGGTGAGGGGGAAGGGGAAGGGGACAAGGGAGAGGGGAAAGAGGTGTTTGTCCTGGAGGGACAAATGACTGCCTTTGGAGAGAAGGGAGGAAGACATGAGCCAAAGGTGGCTTAAAAGGGAAAGGGGGAAACCCACGTTAGCATGAGGTGTTGAGTTTTAATTGGGCATGTTAATTAGGTGAACCAAAAGGGATTTTTGATTGCTGGCTGTTGGAAACCAACAGTCTGCTGACCCCGCCCCCTAACGATGGGTGGGACATTGCCAGGGGACTCAGTTACTGGGGAGTTGCCCTTTTAAAGCAAGCGCCCTTTCTCTCTCTCTCTCTCTCTCTCTCTCTCTCTCTCTCTCTCTCTCTCTCTCTCTCCTGCTTTCAGTTGGCCACCAGCTACCCCCTTCTTCTCCTCTCTCCTCTTCTGTTCCGGGTGCCTCTATGCCTCTATGTCTCTTCCCTTCCCCCTCACTTCCTTTCTAAATAAACTCCCCATTTAAGCTCTATCTGCCTGGTGTGTTATTCCCTCTGCCTCGGTCACCCTCACCTGCTGTGGAACCTGCTATGCTCTCCCACGTGGCCCCTTACCTTGAGACCACATTCACTTGGGACCCTCACTCGGGACCCCACCCCCTTCGCCAGCTTTTATTCTTATAACTGTAACAAAGGAACAACACTGGCCCTCAGTGCTTTGATAGCAGGACCTTGGTAGTCAACCTCAAGAGGAGAAAGTGAACAAATAAGAGGGCAGACCTTGGGGGGGGGTCCCTTTAGGAATGTGATCTAATGGCTTTCAGCAAGGCAGAGGGAGTGGGGGAGAAGGGCCAGGACTGTCAGAGCCACATGCTTGAGTGGTCTAGTGTCCTTTCAGCAACTACAAGGCAGAACTGAAAATGTAGCCTAGATCCATCTCCCCCACTGAGCTCACCACTGGCTATGGAAGTGTCTAGAACCAAGACAAGCTTGTATGTCCAAGAAATAGCCCAGGATGCTTCCTGCTGGTCTGTTACAATGTACCAGTTTTCTCTCTGTTGTAACAAAACACGTGGCAAGAATCCATTTAAGGGAGGAAGTGCTTATTTGGGATTGTAGTTCAAGGGAATAAGGCTCATCGAAACAATTAATAGGCCTAAAGATACCTTTTTTTTTTCTTGTTTATTCAAGACAGGGTTTCTCTAAGAAACCAGTTTCTTGGGCAATGTGAGGAAAGGAATAAAGCCATCCAAGGGCATGCATGCACATTCAGGCCTTAAGCCTTGGCCATTGCTACTTTAATACTAAATATCTATATATAAGATGAATGGGAACTCTATGACAGCAGCTTCTATAGCAAATACTGATTTTCCAGAATGTTCTCATCCCTGGTGAGGGGCTCTAGGACAATGGGGTTCCACTGCCTTCTCTTGTTCCTATAATTTCCCTTTCTTTCTATACTGCCCATGTACCCCTACAGTCACGGTTTACCCCAGTGAATCTATGGGTTGGCCCCTTTCTTCTTCCAAGGATATGTCAGCACTGAACCTGAGCCACGTGGGTGGTGCTGGATGCTGGTGTTTGTATCCACTCCAGTGTGTGTAATTATTCTCCATCCTCAAAACAGAGTAAAAAAACTACCGCTAAGTGCAGTCTCTTGAGACTGAATAGGAGACTCTGTAGTTAAGAGCACTTGTTGTTCTTACAGAGGACCCAGACTTGGCTCCTAGATCCCACATGGAGGCTCACAATCATCTGTAACTGTAGCTCTAGGGGTCTTCTTCTGACCTTTGTGGGTGTGCATGCCACACACATAAAATAAAGTATATATATAAAAAAAAGTCTCTCCTGGCAATGGTGGTACACATCTTTAGTCCCAGCACTGGAGAGGCAAAGGCAGGGGAATTCTGGGAGTTCAAGGCCAGCCTGGCCTACAAAGTGAATTTCAGGACAGCCAGGGCTGTTACACAGAGAAACCCTGTCTCAAAAACAAACAAGAAAACAAACAAACAAAAACCCATCCAATATTCAATATACATATTTTGTCTCTCATGTCAAGACATAACCTGGAAAAGTATTTTGCACAATATGAAGTAACTTATGGCAGGGAAAACAGCCTGGTCATGATAATGGAGTAAATCAGTTTTTTGTTTGTTTGTTTTGAGATGGTCTGTTATGTAGCTTAGGTTGGCTTGAAATTCTCTATGTAGATGAGGCTGATTTCAAACTCAAAATTTCCCTGCCTCAGCCTCTTGGATTGAAGGAAGCTTTCATCACATGTAATTTAGAAGTTGGATTTTTAAAGAACAAGTTTGACTTGCAGAAGATTCCAGAATGCAGAGGCTTGAGTGCAAAGGAAGTGATTTTCATACACTCTAACTTTGTGCCAGCCTTGACTTCTCTTCACCAGTCCCTAAAGCCCGGGTCCCTGTGTGGTCACTTGGTGTCTAGTCTCCACTGGGAACAGGTTTCTACTTGTCTCTCCACCACAGCCTCTAGGCCATTTGGCTTGGATTCCCAAGTGCAAATGTCCCTGCTGATCCTCTTCCTGAATCTCCCCAAGCCTCAGGAAAAGTTATTCCCGGGCCCACTGGAAAGGAGATAGACTCAGACTTATGTTTTGCAGGTTGTTTATCCCTGACGGCCCCCAGCTCTGTGTCTGGCTATGTGGGAGGCACTGTTCATGTGCAGTGCCAGTACGGAAAATCATACAAGGACAATGTTAAATACTGGTGTCGAGGAAATCACGACACGGGATGTAAAACTGTTGTGGAAATCAATAGGAGGGGGGAAGAAAAGAAGAATGGCCGAGTGTCCGTCAGAGACCACACTGAGAACTTCTCCATGACTGTGACCATGGAGAACCTCAGCGAAGATGACGCTGGATCTTACTGGTGCAAGATCCAGACTATCTTTATTTTGGATTCGTGGTCACGTGACCCAGCAGTCCTTGTTAGAGTGCATGTTTACCCAGGTAAGATATCCTGGCTCCAGCCACAGAGCTTTTAGGGAGTGTCCGTGCTTGGGAAATGGGGGCAGGAATTGTCCTGAAGCGTGCCTCTGAGTATTGTCTTCATTGTGGCCATAGGAAGGGGGTTGAGGTATAGGTCACACAAACCACCTGAAACCTGATGTCTCTAGGAGGAGTCAAGAGACAATCTATTTCCTCCTCAGTGGGAGTGAAAGTGAACTTTAAATGTTCCCATGTGAAGGATGCTTGAGAACCCTCCATGGTCTATGGGAGGATCCTTGGGCCACAAGTGAGCTGTGTCCCTTCACACTGCCTCTCATGGACGTCTCACCAAGTGGGGGAGGGGGACGGTGACGACACTCTCGGGAAGAGACAGATGGGGATGAGAAGAAAGTCTGAGATGACATATTGGCCACTCTTTTGGCAGGAAGCCTCCTTCAGCCCCTGAGAGCCTCACCCAGGATGTGGTTGAGGTTTGGCTTAAAGCTGTGGATGTATGGTTCTGTGTGACATCAGATGCTCATTTAGTGAAGGTTTGGGACCAAGCGGTGACCTGATTGATGTGTATCTTTATCTCCAACAGCCACAACTTCCATGGAGACCACACTCCCAGCTACAGCTCCCACCCTCCTGATAGTGAATACTGGACACCTGAGGATTAGCATCAGTGAGATGCTCCTCTTCCAGCTATGGTAAGGGTCCAGGGAACAAGAGACTCAGGAGCTGTAGGCTTATGGGGGTCGACAGCGTCACCCATGTTGAGGAAACCTTATGATTGAGTGAGTGATATTTCCTCCCGCTCTGATCTCAGTGTCCACATTCTCCAAGCCTGCATGTGGATTTCAGGTATGGAGGAGGGGTTCTAGGGACAAAGGCTTGGGGCAGACTCTGTGCTTGGTAGATTCACAGACCCTTCCCATTCCCACCTCTCTTTCCTATCCTTTCCCACTGGGCTCTGGACTTGGTGACCTAGCTCTGTGCCTCTTTCAAATGACATTGTTGAAGGCAATGGAGGTGACTCGGTGGATAAAGGTGTTTGCCACCAGATCTAACAACCTTTGTTCGATCTCTGAGCCCCACAATAAACAAATAAATGTAAAGGTCTTTGTTCAGCTGTTATTCTTGCTCCCAAGGAGCAGGCTCAGCTCTTGGCTGAAGTTCACATTCATTCTTCCTTCTCTCCCACAGGGACTCAGAAAGGGCTTTATGCCTGTGCTATGTCAGATCTGCTTCACCACCAACAAAGTCAGTTAATAACTGGGTGACAGTAGGTAGCTCTAGACCATGCTTCTAGAAAACTGCATCTATATAGAGCTCTCTCCTCTTTTCACCAATCACCTCTCCTTAACAAGAGATGGGGAGGGGGAAGGGAGGAACCACAAGGGCAGGCTTCCTTGAGTCATTTCCTAGTTTGTGTCTGGATCATTCAGGCTTTTGGAAAAAGCCATTAGGAAATGTGGGATGAGACAGATGGGTCCTGGGACCTCCCTTGAACTCATTCTCCATCTTCACATGCCCACAGGTCCCTGCTCAGCAGCATCCATTTCCAGGTCCTGGTCTTCCTGAAGCTGCCCCTGTTTCTAAGCATGCTCTGTGCTGTCTTCTGGGTGAACAGGATTCAGAATATTCCTGGGGGGAATTCAGGGTGAACTGCCCAAGAGCTGTGAAGTGAATTATCCCAGGAATGCCCTGGGAGGGACTCAGACCTACAGAATGAGTGAGACACACACTGGACTCTGGATTGACTCTGCATGGAGACATCGGTGCCTGGATTCTTGACTTTACTATGCCAATCTCAAGGGAGAGAACTGACTATCTGAAACTCTTAGATATCAGACTCCCATGGGGTCTTCAGCATAAAAGGGGGAACAAGGCAGGGAATAATGAATGGAACACACCTTTAATACCAGCACTGGAGAGGCAAAGGCTGGTGGGTCTCTGTGAGCTTGAGGCCAGCCTGGTTTACATAATGAGTTCCAGACAGCTAGGGCTACATAATGAGATTGTCTCAAGCATCCCCCCAAAGGAGCAAGACTTTCTTGGGCTCCCTTGGGCCCTGTGTTGGAGGTCTCCCTTTCCTTTCTCCAGATTTCTTGGTTTGTGCTCTTACTTGCTCCAAAGGGTAAGAATCCTCTAGAATGTCCTTGAACATGAGACCCTTGATCTCTGTGACACAAAAATCATCTTATGTCATTGTCTCTGATGGCAACAATAACCTCCTTCCTACAGAGAAGAGGTTCCCTCAGGAACATGTCCTTCATAGACTTGGATCTCAGGCCATGTCTCCTCTTCTAGAACAATCCCAGAGGATTTGGCTTCTGGCAGAGCATCTTCTCTGCCCATTCTCCCAAATACACAGCATTCTTTTACCTCATCTGATTATTTTAGCTCACTATGATCTCGAAGCCTCCTAATGTCCCCATGACCAGAGAGCATGTGTCAGAGTTCAGCATTTGCTTGCCTGGGCTGACAATAGCCAATCAGCTTGAAAGTACAGTTCTGTGGTTGTTTGGATCAGCAGTAGAGAAAGAGGTGGTGAGTGCCCATGATGCCACTCTGTATTTCCTAACCCAGGGTCTCCTGTGCATAGTGTTAATGGAGGGTCCATCTTTGTTCACTCAAGAAACTGGCTGAGTCCACTTTGGGGATAAAGACAGATATTCAAAGACAGATGACAAGGAGATGTCACATCATCTGGGCATCCATTGAACATCCTGAGTTCAGAAAAAGACCTGCTTGCTAAATGCTTGCAATTTTCTTCCTTGATGTTCTTTGCAAGGGGACCTCACAGGGTTGGCTACAAGCATCATCATCTCCATCCAAGCCAGGCATTGAGGCCAGACTTCTCTCTGCACCCTCAGGTTCATGCCTGCTTTGAACTAGTAATGCCCATTTCCTCAGAGAGGACATGTTTATAGGAGCATCATAAGTGAGTGTGAAGACACAGGGAGTAACTCTCACAAGGATAGTTCTTAGGCTCTATCCACAGACATAGTTTCTTATGGTGAGGCATGTCTGTCAGTCCAACATAGTGAAGCTTTTCTTCTAGCACTTCAGATGGAGTGTGTGGATTCAGCATCAACTCTTGCCTACATTTTCACCTGAACACTGGATATAGTTGAGTGTACTAAGATCCTGGATATAATATAGGAGAGTTTACCTAGCTGGTGGTGTGTCATCTTCAAGGATGAGTCGGAGAGTGGAGGGTCTAAGTCTGTGAGATGAGAGTCACTGATGGGTATGGGAAAGAAAAGGGCAGGCTTGGATGCTACAGAACCTAGCTTTTCTGTTTGTGACTGCATTAACAGACAGAGGTGTTGACTAGGAGTTAGAGGTGTGGGCTAGCAGAATGTGGAGGGCTGGAGAGGAAGAAATGGGGAGAGAGTAACTGGTGCCCAGGGGTAGGTGAAAATTACCAGTGAGCTTTCAGAACCAAGAACAGAGCTCCGGAGAGGAGGTGAAGCTCCTGAGGTACGAGTTCAGGACCAAGGACAGAGACTGCGGTGAGGAGGAGATGCTAAGGTAAGAATTCAGGACCAAGGACAGAGATCACGGAGCCTCTTCCGCACAGGAGCCACTGAATTTGACACACATAGTTACTGGAACTTCAAGAGACCTTGTGCCTAGAATGTAGAATCTCATGAACTCCTCCTCTAACTTCCTCTAGCGTGGAGCACTCTATGTATGTAGTGCGAGGTTAAAAAAAAAAAAAGTCGGCACAATATTGTGAGCTGTATTGTAGCCCTTACTCAATTCTCAACAGTTTCACATGTATTCATTTACATGCATGTTTAATTATGCACTGTAGTCCCACATGTACATCCATGTAATGACCATCATCCATCATGGTCAAAACAGAATCTCTCCATCACCACAAAACCTTCTTCATCCAGACTGCCCCATGACTGCCCGCTAGAGACCCTGATATGCTCTACAACTCTGGTTTTGTCACTTTGAGAATATTCTGGAATTGGAAGCATTCCAGTGTCATATTTTGAGATCAGCCCTCCCCCACCTTAGTAAGTTACAGTGCCTCTGGTATCCATAAAAGCAGATGTACTTAGAAATAATTCATTCCTCTTTGTTAATGGGTATTATTCCATTGTATAACAGAATAAATTCACAACGGTTTGTTTAACTACTTGTTTACTGGGGTGTTGGGGTCATTTCCATTACAAATAAAACTGTTACCCATGGTCAAATATATTTTCTTTTTTTTTTTTAAATTATAAACTGTTTGGCCTATTGCTCAGGCTTATTACTAACAAACTCTTTCAACTTAAATTAACTCAATTCTTATCTATGTTTAGCCACATGGTTTGGCACCTTTTCTCAGTAAGTTGTTCTCATCTTGCTTCCTCTGTGTCTGGCTGGCGACTGCATCTCTGCCTTTCCTCTTCCCAGAATTCTCCTAGTCTGGTAGCCCTGCCTATACTTCCTGCCTGACTACTGGCCAATCAGTGTTTTATTAGCCAATATGAGTGACAAATCTTTACAGTGAACAAGAGCATTATACCACATCATACATTTTCTTTTCAATATACATATTTTATTTTGTATGACTATTCATTTTTTTCTCCAGTATGTATGCTTGCACGGATACTAGATATATAAGGAGTATATGTCTAGTTTTATAATAATAACACAATTATTCCAGCATGCTAATGTTATCTTATTTTCGCATCAGTAAGGGATGAAAGATCCAGTTTGACTATTAACATTATTTCTTTTAAATGATTTAGATTTATTTTATGCCAACAGTGCTTAGCCTGCATTTGTATCTGTGCACTGTGTGTATGCATGCCTGGTGCATCTGGTGGTCAGGAGAGGGCGTCAGATTCCTTGGAACTCGAGTTATGGATGACTGTGAGTCCATGTAGATCCTGGGAGCCAAATATGGGTCCTTTGCAAGAGCAGCAAGCACTCTTACTTTTCTTCTTTACATACATTACATCCCAACCACAGTTTCTCCTACCTCCATTCCCCCAACTCCCCCATCCTCTCTCTCCTAGATCCACTCCTCCTCCGTTTCCCTTAAAAAAGAGAGAGAAAGGGCCTCCCAAGGATATCAATCGGACAGCATAACAAATTACAGTAAGACAGGCACAAACTGGTCTGGATGAGGTGACACAGTAGGAGGAAAGGGTCCCAATCACGGGCAAAAGAATCAGGGACACCCGCCACTCCCAATCTTTTGAGGGATCTCCATAGTGATTTCCAAAGTGGCTGTACAAATTTGTACTCCCACCAGCAATAGAGGAGTGTTCCCTTTCCTCCACATCCTTGCCAGCAGGAGCTGCCAATTGTGGGTTTGTTTGTTTTTATCTTCGCCATTCTGATAGGTGTAAGATGGCATCTCAAAGTACTTTTGATTTTTATTTCCCTGATGGCAAAGGATGTCGAACATTTCTTTGCGTGTTTCTCAGCCACTTGAGAATTCTCTGTCTAGATCTGTACCCTATTTTTAACTGGACTATTTGGTTTGTTGATGTCTACTTTCCTGAGTTCTTTATCTATTTTGGATATTAGCCCTCTGTCAGATGTGGAGTTTGGTAAAAAAAAATATTTTCCCATTATGTAGGTTGCCATTCTGTCCTATTGACAGTGTCCCTTGCCTTATAGAAGCTTTTCAGTTTCATGAGGTCCCATTTATTAATTGTTGATCTTAGTGCCTAAACTATTGAACAGCTATGGAGAGAGTGGATAGCATGTCTTGTTCCTGAATTCAGTGTAATTGCTTTGAGTTTCTTGCCATTTAATTTGATGTTGGCTATATGTTTGCTGTAAATTGTCTTTATTATATTTAGATATGTTCCTGTGACCCTAATCTCTCCAAGGCTTTTATTATGAAAGGGTGTTGGATTTTTGTCAAAGTCTTTTCAGCATCTAATGAGATGATCATGGGCTTTTTTTCTTTCAGTTTGTTTATATAGTAAATCACACTGACTGATTTGTGTGTGTGTGTGTGTGTGTGTGTGTGTGTGTGTGTATTGAACCTTCCCTGCTTCTCTGGGATGAAGCCTATATGATTTGTGGTGGATAATCTTTTTTGATGTGTTCTTGAATTTAAAAGAGTTGCCATGGTGTCTCTTCACAATAAAAACTCTAAGACAAATATTTTTGCATCTATGTTCATGGTATAAGTTGGGCTATAATTTTCTCTCTTTGTTGAATCTTTGTGTGGTTTGGGTAGCAGGGTGGCTGTGGTTTCTTGTTATGAGTAGGTTTTTCCCACCGCTCTGGTCCCATGGCCATGCCAGCCCCAAATAACACACAGAGACATTATATTAGATATAAAGCTGTAGGCCAATTACTAGTTTCTTATAGGCTAGCTCTGTCTTAATTATTAACCCATTCCTATTAACCTAAGTATTTCCACGTGGTCTCATCTTACCAGAGAGAGAGGCTGGCGTTCTTCTCTCTCTGTCTTCCATCGTGGTTCTCCTCCCTACTCCTTCCTCTCTCCTCCAAGTCCTCTAGTCCCACCTATCTTGCTTTCCTATTGGCCAACAGTGCTGTATTCATTAACCAATAAGAGAAACATATTTACAGAATGACATCTCCCATCAGTCTCTTAAGATGAATTTGGCATTGTTCTTTCTGTTTCTATTTTGTGGAATAATTTGAGGAATATTGGTGTTAGCTCTTCTTGGAAAATTTAGTAAAAGTCTGCACTAAATCTCTCTGACTCTGTTCTATTTTTGGATGAGAGACTTTTAAAAACTGCTTCCTTAGGGGTTATAGTCTATTTAAATTGTTTCTCTAATCTTGATCTAACTTTGGTAAGCAGCATCTATTGAGAAAAGTATCAATTTCTTTTAGATTTTCCAATTTTTGTGACATACAGGTTTTTAAAATATGACCTAATGATTCTTTAGATTTCCTCAGTTACCATTGTTATGTCCCTTTTTTACTTCAGATTTTGTTAATTTGTATTGTCTCTTTGGGTCTTCTAGTTAGTTTGGATAAGTTTTTTTCTATCTTGTTGATTTTCTCAAAGGACCAACTCTTTGTTTCATTGATTTTCTGTATTGTTCCCTTTGTTTTTCTTTTATTGATTTCAGCCCTCAGTTTGGTCATTTCCTGCTGTTCAGTCCTCTTGAGTGAGCTCGCTTCTTTTTGTTCTAGAGCTTTCAGGTGTGCTGTTAAGTTGCTTAGTGTGAGATTGTTAGCACAGCTTTCATTGTGCCCCATAAATTTGGGTATGTTGTGCATTCATTTTTATTGAATTGTAGGAAGTCTTTAATTTCTCTCTTTACTTCTGCCCTGACCCAGTTATCATTCAGTAGAGAGTTGTTCAGTTTCCATGAGTTTGTAATCATTCTGTTGTTTCTGTCGTTAAGATCCAGCTTTAACCAATGGTGGTCTGATAGATGCATTAATCTGTTCAGACTTGCTTCATGACTGAGGATGTGGTCAATTTTGGAGAAAGTTCCTGAGGTTCTGAAAAGAAAGTGTATTGTTTTGTGTTTGGGTAAAATGTTCTGTAGATATGTTAGGTCCATTGATTCATAATGTCTGTTAGCACCAGTATTTCTCTGTTTAGTTTTTTTCTGTATGTTCTGTCCATTGGTGATAGTGGGGTACTGAAGTCTCCCACTATCAATGTGTGAGGCTCCTTATGTGACTCAAACTTTAGTAGTGCTTCCTTTACAAATGTAGGTACCTTGTGTTTGGTGCGTGAAGTTAAGAATTGAAAGATCATCTTGGTGGATTTTTCCTTTGATGAGTATGAAGGGTCCTTCCCCATCTCTTGATTAATTTTAGTTTAAAGTCTTGTTTGTTATATTAGAATGGCTACACCAGCATGTTTGTTAGATCCATTGGCTTGGAAAAATTTTTCCCAACCCTTTACTCTGAGGTAATCCCTATCTTTGATGTTTAGGTGTATTTCATGTATGCAGTAGAACGATGGATCTCCTGTTTTTACAACCATTTTGTTAGTCTGTGTCTTTTTATTGAGGAATTGAGTCCATTGACATTGAAAGATATCAATGGCTAATGATTATGTCTATTTCCATGTTCTGTTTCTGTGGTAAAGCAGAGAGTCTCTGTACCAGTTGAGGGCCTAGAATAGGGCAACTAGAAGGGCACAGGCTGGAAATAGGGTCAGGGGGTGCCAAGATAGTAAATGAGTGGGGGATTTGGCAGAAGGGCAGCTTACCCGGACTTCTCTCTGCCTGCTTGGTCTTTGGTAGAGCAGGAGTCTCCATCCCATTGAGGCCTGGGGCACAGCAACTGGGGTTTGGAACTGGGGATAGTGTTGGGGGGACGCCAAGATAGTGAGAGAGTTGGGGAGTTTGGCAGGCCGAACAGCTTATCTGGACTTCTCCCAGTCTGCAAGCAAGCAGTCTTAACTACTGAACCATCTCCCTGGCTAAACATTTTAAACTTTGATGACACTTGATGCATCAGTTTTTGTTTTAAAAGTTATGCTTTTGGTGTTGTGTATTGTGTAAGAAATTGTTAGTTGTCTTTTATTTGTTCCAACTTTTAGAAAGTTTTAAAGTATCTATCTGCTATTTATTTAGTTCTCCCCACCTCCTGTGTGTGTGTGTGTGTGTGTGTGTGTGTGTGTGTGTGTGTGTGGTGCGTTTTATGTGTGTGCACTCACATGGGCATGCAGAGGCCATAGGAGGGTGTGAGCTGTCCTGCTCTATCAGTCTCCATCTTATTCCCTTGAGACAGGGTCTCTCCCTGAACTGGAGCTTGCCACTTTTTGGCTAGGCTGGTAGTCAACAGGCCTGAGTTTTGTAGCTTTTTATTTAACATTTGAGCTCATGAATTGCGATTTATTTTGGATTTCTTGCTCAGTGTCTTCTTGTTCAGAGACAGTTCTAGGCATTTAGCTTCCTCGTTTGGATAGCTGAATGTTTCCACAGTGTCCGCTAAGTTCACTATCTTTCCAGCATTGCTTTTATACTTCTTTTCTGTCAAAACCAACAACAAACAAAACAGTCAAACACATTTGAGTGGGAGAAGTGTGACATCACCTGGAGCCCATGGAGAGATGAAGCCACCAAAAGATGGGTTCTGAACCAAAAACAGAACACCCACAGTAAAACTTTCACAGAGAAAAATTGCCCTTGAATTAATGTGGGCAAAACAGAACGTGCTGTCAGTCTCTGCAGAACCTCAGATGCTAGTCTGTGACTTCTGCCTAGAGGATGGAGGCTTCAGAGCTGTGGCTGTATCCTGGGACCATATGGTGTCCCAGCAGGCATGGTGACTGACCAACTAAGGTGCCCAGATGGCCCACGGGGATGAGGTGGGGACCAGTCAGCGGGGCAGGTCCAGATACTCTGCCTGTCTTGTCACTGGGCTCACAGGGTCACACCTTCAGGTCCTTTTCTATATATAAATGATGATTTTTACTTTTTGTGCATGGAAGTTGATAAAAACCATTGAGGGTTCTATTAAAACTGAACATTTCAATTGAAAGGCATACTAAGTATACTTATTAAGTGCTAGTTTCTAAAATACAGTTTTAAAACATCCCAACATATAATCTCACTTCAAAGGATTTAAGACTAAGTATACATGTTACGGGTATCAAGGCAGGATTATAAATTATCATAGTTATCATCGTCACCATCATCTTCAAGTTTTCTTTTCAGCGCTGACTCACTGGCTCATTTTGTGATACCATATTAGCAGTAATAAGAATGTTTTTGGACACCATTAATGACATATTAATCAGAGCATTCTGAACTGCTGATGTTTCAGGAATTAAAGCTGTCACAGTAGGGGACTGAGAAGTGGGTATCTGTACCATAACCCGTTGTCCTATGAGGGACACTGGAGTGCCTACTTCAGTTGAGACAGTTTAGTTGGAGTTGGAGTGCCTAGCGTGGGAGTGTTTGATCTGCTAGAAACCGAACCAACATTTCACCATGGAATTGTCATTCTTCCTGCAGTAGATGCCTTATTTTGTAAAGACTTTAGCCTATAGTTTGGGGCAGTTAAGTGATATCTATCAGGTGGCAATCAAAGACCTGAATATGGCTTGATTAACAGCGAACGAGCTTGATTTCTTTGTTTAGCAATAATAAATCTCCTATGGGAGAAGTGAAAGATTGGTTGGCATGGCACTGGACTGCCAATCACATACCATCTGCATCAACAGTAGCTTTCTTAGCATGGCCTGAATACATTTTAGCGTCATGTAGAATTGTGGTGATATACCAAAAGGCAAATTTCCATGTCTGATTTATAACTCCTGGCTTGAGTTCTGTAATCCCCATGTCCTCTAGGATTTGTTCCATCATCTGGGCATGCTCTTGGGAGAAGCCATTTTGCCAAACTCCATGGTATCCAGTGATGAGACTTCTTGAACCAAATCACCCACATGAACGCACTTCAGTCCTGATTTGGTTGCAAGCTTTTTGCTAGCGTGTTTTTTTTTTTTTTTTTGTTTTTGTTTTTGTTTTCCAACCCCTGGTGTACCAGTGAGCAGGATGTTTGGAGTGTTCATAGTCCTCCCCCAAAAGCAATCTGCTCATGAACCCAAAGGGCTCTCCATGGAGGAGCCAGAGAGCCTTGTTCTTATAACGAACGATGAGACGGTCCTAGGTTAATATCCTTTTCTGTAGCAGTTTAATGTCCTGGCTGCATATTCTTTAAAACTCCCATTACTCATCGGGATCAAGCTTCCTTCCTTTCCTTGAGTCTGAGATGTCTTCAGCCAGTAGATGGCAGTGTGGATCCAGGATGAGCTCCCTAAGTATTTTAGGGATCTCAGCCTAGAGTTTTTAGAACCTGCCACCATTCAGGGTTAGTTGCCCCTCTTCATTCAAACTTCTCTGTGCACACCCTCACACTGTTAGGCTGACACTGAAGATTAACCATCATAGGCATTCCCCTTATCTGCCTGTCTGTCTCCCCATCCCATCCCTGCCAAACTCTGTGTGTGTGTTTGTGTCTGCATCTCTGTGTGTCTGCTTAGAAACGTCCTCCCATGAATTTGATATCAGACATACTGTACCTACATCTATGAACACAGCTGGTCCTCTGGATTTAAGCCAATTGCAGATTGGAGGCTCACATGAGAGAGAGAGAGAGAGAGAGAGAGAGAGAGAGAGAGAGAGAGAGAGAGAGAGAGATATTGCGGCCAACTTGAACTACACAACAAAACTTAGTCTTATATAAACAAAACAAAGGGTTTAAGAGGCTGTGGATTCACATGGGTGTGTACAGTTCTTGCTAACATATGTGCAACCTTAGGTTCAGTCTTCAGCCTCCCCCACACACACACACAACTGAGAGTGAATGTGAATGCCTGTAATCCCAGCTTTTTAGTGGTGGGGGAAGAAGGATCAGAAGTTCAAGGCCAGACTGAACTACATGAGACCTTGCCTCAAACCCAATCTCTCCCTCTTTCTCTGAGCCAACACCCATGGCCCTAGTAGCATCGTGACAGGTGTCTCTGGCCAGAGGAATCCCTGCTCTGAGGTTCATAGCAGCACTGCCTAGGCTGAGCCTTTAGAAGGGCCCCTCACTGCCCTGGGCTTAACTTGGGTGGACTGGTGGCCCCTTGCTACTATAGCCACCATGCTTTTGGTTGCTCTCCTCTCCCATGAACCTCTGCAACTCACTCACATCCCAGGTGAGCAGAAAGGTTTACTGTACTCCATCTTTTGCATATGTCTCTACTGCCCCTGTCTGTCTGTGTCTCCTCTTGGGAGTCCTACCCATCTTTCAAGTTTAGATCTAGACTTGCATCTACCCAGCAGAGGAAGTTCCCTGTTCATCCAGCTGGCCACACATGCAAGGAGTTGGTCTTCTAAAGCACTGACATCCTCTTTCTTGAAATATGCAAATTTGAGACATTGTTAAGGAAGTGAATGAAAGACCTAAAGGAAATTCAAGCTGAGCTTCAAGTCTTGCAGGGTGTTGACATCTGTCGCCACCAAGACCAGAAGAAGAGACAGGACCATGTGGCTGTTCCCTGCTCTGCTCCTCTTCCTCCCAGGTAAGTAGCTGGGACTTTAAGAACTCACAGTGTCAGTGGTGGGGGAGGACACAAACTATCTGCCCTGGGTTCAGGAAAAGAGGAAGGGCTAATTCATTCACCAAATGCTTACTCCCTAAATAAAAACCAAGGTCTGGTGGATCCTATGGGTGCCACAGGGAACACAAAACAAGAACCAACTGTAATGAGTATGGTTTTTCCGCCCGCCGCCCGGTCTTGTCCTGCCACCGCGCGAGCCCCAAATAACGCACATAGACTCTGTATTTGATATAATGCTGTTGGCCCATTATTTGTTTCTTATAGGCTACCTCTGTCTTAAGTATTAACCCATTTCTATGTATTTCCATGTGGTCTCCTTACCGGGGAGTGAGGCAGGCGTCTGGTCTCCCCGGTCTCTCCCTGCTGACTCCTCCTTACTACTTCCTCTTCCTCCTTGTCTCCTAGTCCCTCCTATCCTCCTTTCCTATTGGCCAACAGTGCTTTATTTATTAACCAGTATGAGAAACATATACAGAATGACATCTCCCATCAACCAACTTTTTAACAAACCTTCCAGAGTGTGTTTCTCAACCCTGGCTACATCACAAAAGTAGATGAGAGAGTGGATAAACTAATCCTTTTAAAAATATATGTATACTTTTATGTCTGGCACTTTTGAGATAGGATCTCATGCAGCCTAGGATGACCCTGAACTTCTGATCCACTGGCCTCCACCTTCTGAGTGTTGGGATCTCTAGCATATCCAGTTATAATCTGACTTCTAATTGACACAATTGAAATACTTATAGGGGCTGGGTGTGGTAATGAATGACTTAATGTCAGAACTCAGAAGCACAGATAGGTGCTCTGTGAGTTCAAGGACAGCCTGGTCTACACAGAGGGAGCTGTCTCCAAAAGTAGGAAGAAAGGGACAGGTACAATGTGGCCTTTGCATGGGTGTTACAGGATGTGACGGTCAGGGTAGCTGGCCTTCCATTAGAGATGTTGGCATTTCCTTGTACTAGAAGCATCTGAAACCTTCTCTATGAGGCATTTTGAAAGGTGAATTGTCAACCACATTTCTCAGCTGTGTTGTACAACACTAGAGGTGTCACTCTCGTCAAATGACACCTCTATGTCCTAAGCAGCCTCCCTCTCCCTCTACCCTTTCTCCCTTACACCCTTCCCAGGCTGATAACCTCCATTCCGTCACTGCTTCTCTGAGCTTAACTCTGGTTCTTTATGAAAAACTATGTGTCTGTGAGGTGTATGCATGTGTCAGTGGTGTGTGTGTGTGTGTGTGTGTGTGTGTGTGTGTATGTGTGTGTGTGTGCACGCATGCACATGCATGTGCTCATACATGTGTAAGGAGTACAGTTTTTTTCTGCCCGCCGCCTGGTCTTGTCCTGCCGCCACACCGCCAGCCCCAAATAATGCACAGAGACTCTGTATTTGATACAATGCTATTGGCCAGGTGCTAGTTTCTAATTGGTAGCTCTGTCTTAATTATTAACCCATTTCTATGTATTTCCACGTGGTCTTACCGAGAGCGGAGGAATGGCGGTTCTGTTCTCTCCAGGCTCTCCATCCTGACTCCTCCTTATTATTTCCTCTTTCCTCCTTGTCTCCTAGTCCCTCCTATCTTCCTTTCCTATTGGCCAACAGTGCTTTATTCATTAACCAGTATGAGAAACATATATACAGAATGACATCTCCTATCATACATGCCCAGGTACATATGTGTGGATGCACACATATGTGTGGAAGCCAGAGATTAGCATTGGGAACCTTTACCATTCTCCACCTCGTGTGTTCAGACAGGGTTTCCCACTGAACAAGGAGCTCCCTGACTCTCTAGGTGGCCAGTGATCCCCAGGAATCCTCCCGTCGCTGACTATCCAGCTATTAGAGCTACAGGCACACCACATCTCATCTGGCTTTTTCCATGCATTCTGGGATCCAAACTCAGGTCCCCTGCTTCTGCAGCAAACACTTCACTGACCTGTCCACCCCCATCTCCCTTTCTCCAGAGAATAACTCTGTAGCTTCCACATATGAATAAAAATGTGTGTTAGCATCTTTCTGTGTCTGGTTTATTTTACTTCCTCCAACCTCATGGAGGGAAACAGAGCAGGAACTCAAGCTGGGCAGGAACCTGGAGGTAGGAGCTGAGGCAGAGACTCTGGAGGAACAGGCTTGCTCCCCCCAGCTCGTTCAGCCTGCTTCTTATTCCGCAATGTTCACAGTGGACTGGACCTTCCCACATCAAGAAAATGTCCGCCAGACTTGCGTACAGGCCAACCTGATGGAGGCATCTTCTCAACTGACGTTCCTTCCTTCCCTGACTTATGTAGCAGTTCTATGCTTTTTCTGAGGGACTTCCATACTGTTTCCCAGAAAGTCTAATTTACATTCCAACCCAAGGTGTGTGAGACTTCCCTGTCCCACACGCACATCTACAGTTGTTATATTTTGTGGGTTTGGTAAAAGCCATTCTGACTGGGGGATGATGATGGCTGTCTATGATTCTGATTTGTATCTGCCTCCTGACAATTAGTGACATGGGGCATTTGTCATATATTTCATGGCCATTTGTATCTCCTTTGAGAACTGTGTGCTCAGTTCATCTGCTCATGTCTGTGTGGGTGTGAGCATGCATGTGTGTGGGTGCAGCTGCACATGGGTGTTCATGCATGTGGAGACCTGAGGTCAAGAGGTCGGGCTTTGTTCCTTATTTGCTCTACACCTTTACTTTTATGTTATGTTATTCTTCACACTGGCTCTCACCATGTAGCTCCAGCTGGCCCACAACTCTTTTTGTAAACCAGGCTAGCCTTGAACTCACAGAGATCTGCCTGCCTCTGCCTCCCCAGTGCTGGATTTAAAGCATGTACCATCATGCCCAACTTCCACTCCACCTTCATTTTCTGAGACAGGGTTCCTCGCTGAAAGTGAAGCTGGTTTGGAGGGCCAAGGGGCTTCCCAGATGCTGTCTTTGCTTGTGCATCTCTGTGCTGTGATACAGGGACACGCTAGTACTCCTGACTTTTTACATGGCTGCTGAGGAAACAAATTCAGATTCTTCATGCTAAGGCTAGCACAGCAGGTATGACACTGACTGAGCTATCTCCACAGCCCCTTATTATATCATTTTCATTGAGTTATGGTTGCTACTGGACTCTTGGAGTTGAATTCCTGCTCATATATAAGGAAGTTGGCCTCTTGTCCCAGTGCACAGGCTGAAAAGATGTTTTCCCACCTGGAAGCTGTGTCTTCACTCTGTTGGTTAAGTCCTTTTAGTTTAATATAATTACATTTAGCAATTTTTCTTTTCTCATCTCTGCTGTTAGGAACGCACTTTGTTATTGTGGTTGGAGCCAATACTCTGAGCCCTTTTCTTTTAAGCAGGTATTTGTTAATGTTTGTTTTTGTGCATGCTATGTAAGCACCCCCAGCAACTGAGCTGAATCCCTATCCCTTCCTAGGAGCTTTTGGTCAGATTTAGGTGGATCTGAAGGGCAGCACAGGGTCTGTGAACTCTTGGCTCTGTATCGCACGGAGAACAGATTGGTAGGTGTCACTTTGGACAGCTTCCAAAGCTGGAGACTGCTGGTCTGCCTGAACTGGCCTCCGCATGGCCACAGGATGTGACTTCTTCGGATGGACTTCCTGACTGTCACGGGTACTGAAATGAAGGCAGGATCATGCCCTGTGGACATGGTCTTCTGATACTTTGTGCTCCAGGGAAACACAAAGATGCTTGCAGAAGGATTCTTTGAAATACACTTTTATTGTCCACTGGGGCATGAAGAGGGGTGGATGACAGGACGCCAGGAATACTCAGTGTCACCATTTTATCTTCTGAGAGCTGCAACTGGGCTCATCTGCACCAGGTTTGTTCCTTTGGCCCATCAACCAGCTCCCAAATCATGACACAGAGACTTATCATTTTGAATGCTCAGCCTATCTTAGGCATGTTTCTGGCTAGCCCATTTAACTTAAGGTAACCTGATTCTCTTTATCTGCCTTTTGACTCAGAGCTTTTTACCTTTTCTTACTTTCCTGCTGTCTGTACATCTGGCTGACTTCTGCCTGCTTGGCTTCTGGTCCAGACACGTCCCTGGTTCTCTCCTTCTTTAGTTCTTCTTCCTGAGCCTAGATTTCTCCTTCTATTTATTCTCTCTCCCTGCCAGCCCCCACTTATGTTTTCTCTGCTTGGGTATTGTCCGGTCAGCTCTTTATCGGACCAATCAGGTGCCTTAGGCAGGTAAACTGAAACTAATGCAACACATCTTAAAGAATCAAACCCACATCCTTACATCACTAAACAAATACAACTCACCTTTACCCAGTTATAGTAAAATTCTGCAGCAGAAACAAATCTAACACATCTTTTCCTCGTGAAAATATCCAGCATAGTCAGCTGTTTTTTGAGGCTTTGACCAATAGAATGATGATGGCCTGTCTTGATAAATGGGTAGCCCTTCCCCGATTGTTATGGATTATTTTTTCGACACTGTTTCTTGCTCTTGGAGTGGGAGATCAGTGGTCCATCATTTTCTATTTTCCAGGCTGCTCTGCTGCTCTTCATAAAATCACAGGCCCATACATGGCGAGGAGTCGGGAGCGGGGCACCTTGACTGTGCTGTGCCATTATGACTCACACTGGAAGGGTTACAAGAAATACTGGTGCCGAGGAGCTGATATAAATACATGTGAGATTCTCGTCCAAACTTATAAATCCGAGAAGTTGAAGAAGAAGAACCGTGTGTCCATCAGGGATGACCAGACAGACTTCATCGTCACAGTGACCATGGAGGACCTGAGGACAAGTGATGCTGGCATTTACTGGTGTGGGATCGAGAGAACAGGATATGATCACGGGTTTAAAGTCGACGTGAAGATTGATCCAGGTAAGGAAAAATTCCAGACGTTGTGGCGGGAGTGAGGGATCAGGGGCCCTGAACCCATGACTGTAACAGTCTTACTGGAAAAGATAACCACAGACGACTCTACTGGTCCTGTTTCTATGAGGTGGGGAGGACTTGTCTTCCCACCCCACATGTGTGTCTCACATACTCTCACTTGTACACGTCTGGGAACTGAACCCATGTGTGTTACACATGCACTCGACCACGGATGTAAACTCCCATCCCGAGACACCCCCCAACCCCTTTAACATAAACTAGACAAAATGTGCAAAACATGTTTTCCTACAGATTGCACACCAGACAGTAATGAGTGAGCCTGAAGAAGGGAGTTTTAAAGGGGGAACTGCTTTGCCCTGCACATCATCTTCCTTTAGGAAAGAATTAATGTACAGTTTTAGATGGTGTCTGTAGAGCAAGCTATATAATTCCCAGTGGAAAAAGCTTTAGTCCATACCCAGAGCTGGGCTGTCCTCAGGAGGAATGAACCATGCTATGTTTGTATCTTTAGCCCCAGAAATTACTACTGTAATAATGACAACCATGGCCCCAGTTCTGACATCCACCCCATCAACCACGGAGATCTTTGGCATCCAAGGAGAGACTAAAACCAGCGCCCTCACCTGGTAAGCAGAGCTGGACCCCAGCAGCTCTTTCCCACTGGGCTGTCCCTGTGACCTCTCCCCTGGGAGGGCCTCCAGATAAAACAGAGAATGCCCGGGACTCCTGGAATTCAGGAAAACTTGTGTATAACCCAAGCATTACACGGCTTTATCTACACTTTTGAAAAAGTCATTTATATGAATACCAAATTGGCCTTGCCATCTTGTGATTTTATTTGCTAAGCAAGGTAACTATCCTGTAGGGTCAGTGGGTCTGGTGTATTCTCATGGCAAAGCCTGAGGTGGGCTCCTAACCCTTTCACCTTTTAGTATAACATGACTTCCCTTCTAAGCCTCAGCTACAGGAAGGAACCTTCTTCATCTGAACGGCAGAAGACACTGAGCCTGGTCTTTGGTGGCTCCCCTGTGTGTTCCCCAGAGGGCAGGGCAGAGGGCCAAGGTTGGGTCTTTCCTGAGTCAGAAGAGAATCCTTCCCCATCAGCTTCAGGCTCCAGCCCATGAATAAATCTACAAAGTGCAGAGGAGGAGAGTGGGAACCTGAGGGCTGTGCTGTGCCAGGGTGATGCTGGTCACCCTTGCTGGGGTCCAGAGGAATTCCCAGCCAAAGGCACAGCTAAACCACAAACCTCCACTTCCCCTACAGTGAAGGCAGAAGTCACCTCGCTAGCCCTCCCTGAGAATGATCCCTCAGGTCTTATCCAGTCCTAGTCCTCCCTATGTCCCTTCTAGTGTGTTCTTTCTGCCCATTAAATCTTAAGTTAGACAAATGGACAGCCAATCAGCTCTGTCCTGCCTGCTGCTCCCAAATAGCCACAGAGAGACTTGTTATTGGTTAGAAATGCTCAGTTCACAGCTTACTCTTGCTTTTAGCTAGCTCTTATAACTTCAATTCACCCATTTCTATTAATCTGTGTGCTGCCCCAAGGCTTGCGTACTGTATCTCTGCACATCTGTATCTGGATGGTGACCTGCAGACTCCTAGCTTCTTTCCAACATTGTCTCGGCCTAGCTACAGGCTGTTTAGCTTTTTTAATAAACCAGTTACAGTGATTTGCATTGACACAGCATAAAGGAATATTCCTCAGTGTTCCCACCTTGTAGGCTCTCTTGAGGGTTACTTTTTACATTTTCTTTCTCTCTTAGCGCTTTGGAAGAGTTCTGGTAGATATATATCTGGTAGTATATATATATATATATATATATATATATATATATATATATATATATACTCACATGAATGGAGTGTTAGATATGGACAGACAGAGGGAAGGAGGCTCCAGACCTGCACACAGTCCAAGAGAGTGTGGAGCATGGGCAGTGCAGTCCTGGGAAACATGACAGGACATTTGATGCATGCTCTGCCGAGTGGCAGCTCTTCCGCCTTCCAGGAACTTGTTCATGCTAAGCTATGACTACAGAGGACCTGCAGTTGCAGACACTTTCATGAACTGAGGATGGCCTTCTGTTGGGCCAAAGGAGAAACCAAGGATGGTCCAAGGAGGGAGATGGAGGCCTGGGCAGGGCAGGAGGATGACAGAGAGTGGGGAATAATGGATCAAGACTGCTCAGGGACTCATCATGGTCCCACGGGATATAATAAAGGAACACCAAGAACTACAATATTGGTAACAATTCATGTGACAGAGCAGGAGCAGCCACCAACCATTTCCAGATGTAGTGTGCCCTAAGCCTCCTAAGATGTGTATCAGCTCCCACAAGGCAGTGGTGAGGTTGGGCAGGGCCACCTGGGTGAAGAATGTAAGAGGGGCAAGGGTCAAAAGGTCAGGGAGCAGGGAAGCCTTCTGCCTGGCTGGAATGAGCACTGGATGAGGAGGACTTCCGGGAGACCAGGCAAACAGGGAGGACGGTGGTCAAAAGGAAAAGAGGGACACCAGGCAAAGATTCCCTGGGAAGCAGCGTAGCCTGCAGGCAGCATGACCAGCCATGCACATGCAGAGAGGCCATCCTTGTAGCATCCTGGGCTTGTCCTTCTCTGGCCACTGAAGGCTAGGATATGGACACAAGGAAGGCTGAGAGCTCTATGCCCGGTGACATCTTACTCCCTCTCTCCTTCCTTTCCTGCAGGTCCCTGCTGAGCAACATCTACTTCCTGCTCCTGGTCTTTCTGGAGTTGCCCCTACTCCTGAGCATGCTCAGTGCGGTCCTCTGGGTGAACCGGCCTCAGAGATGCTGTGGGGGAGGTGAAGTTGGCCTGGCAAAGGTCCAGAGTTCTGATGTCCGATAAAGAGAGAAAAACCTCCCAACAGACAGAAAAAACTGTGTGTGTGTGTGTGTGTGTGTGTGTGTGTGTGTGTGTGTGCGTGTGTGTGTTTACACACTGTGGGTGCACAAATGTATGTAGAGTATGTAGAGGACAAAATTCATTCCACTATTGTTCAAGAGAAGGTTTCTTATTGGCCTGGACCTTTGTCATTTAGGCCTGACAAGCTGAAGGGGAACTCTGGGAACCTACCTGCCGCCCCTCCTATCATGCCATTACAAGTACACACGAATGCCCCAGCTTTAAAGCACATGCACACACACACACACACACACACACACACACACACACACACACACACGAAAACATAGAAAATCATAGCTTGTTCTGATTAAACACATGTCCTTGTACTGTAGAGAAGGCAAGCACTTTACCCACCGAGCCATCTCCCAGCCTAGGAAAGAATATGTCTATGAAGGAATGGCTGTGGTCAGCAATGACTGGGGTACTGTGGACTCAGCCCTAGACCACTCCCCCTCAAATAGCAGCGACAGCTGAAAGCTATCTCAGAATGTCCTACAGTGCCTGCCTTGGCCTTTCGTCCTCCGACAGTCTCCAATGAAGTAGAAACTACAAGAAAAAGTTCCTAGGAGGACTTATGTCATTCAAACTCTGTGGGCCACCAGCCAGGTGTTTGACCAAATGTCTGGGAAATGTGGCTTCACCAAGTGGCATAAAAGATTGCCACTATTGTATTGGGTGTCTGCTGCTTACAGATAAATCACACTGTGATTTCTTTTTTGTCAGCAGCGAGTAAATGTGTTATAAACACAGGTAGAGCAGTTGACAGACAGTGTGCCTGTACCACCTGTCACCACGGGTTCCCAGGGAGTAGCTCCGTCATGGTCCCTGGAATCTAGATCCCTGTCCCAGAGAGTTGCAGAATATCAACTATGAAAAGGTGTGTTACATCTGTTTATGTTGCAGAATATTACTTTAACTGTGTAAAGTTGTGTTACTTTTGTTTGCTAATGATGTAAAAATGTGTTACATTTGTTTATGCTGCATTTGTTTAATTATGAAAACATGTGTTGCTGTTTAAGGTTGCCAGCCTAAGGCACCTGACCGGCTTAGCAGAATGGCCAATAGCTAGGCATGAGAGGGAAGGGGAGGGCTGCCAGGCAGAGAGAATAAATAGGAGGAGAGATCTGGGCGGAAGAGAAGAAAGGAACGAAGAGCCTGAGGGAGAAAGAAAGGGACACACCCAGGGCCAGAAGCCAGGCAGCTGCCAGACAGACAGACATAGAGACAGTAGGAAAGTGAGACATACAGGAAAAAGGAAGGCAAAGAGCCTGGAGATGAAACATAGATAAAGAGAAACAGATAAGTTAAATTATAAAAGCTCGTCAGAAACGAGCCTAAGCGAAGGCTGACCGTGCCTAACTAATGAGGTCACCATGCCATGATCTGGAAGCTGTTTGTTGGTCCTAAAGGACATGTCTGTCCCAGGGGAGTTACCTGGGTGAAGGATCATGAGACCACATCAGCCCCCTGAGTTGTGGAATCATCATTTTGGTCATGATGAAGATGGGTCCCTTGAATTGGGACCAATTGAGGGCCAATAGCAAGGCAGGATTTCGGGGGACAGAGAGAAGGCTGGGAAGAAGGGAGTCTCCAGCTAGATGCACAGGAAGGAGGAGAGGTAACTGTCACGAGCCACATGGCAGGACATAGGTCAATAGAAATGGGTTAATCTAAGTTATAAGAACTAGTTAGAAATAAGCCTAAGCCGGGCTTTTGTAATTAATAAGAAGCCTCTGTGTCATTACTGGGGAGCTGGCTGGTGGGACAGAGAAAGACTGGCTACATCATTGACCACTGTTGTCTTCCTGTTCCTTCAAAAGCATCTATTCAACGGCTAAGCACTACACACGATCCAAATACAAGCTAAATAATAAGAAAAACCTTGCTAACTTCCGCAGGCAGAGGATGCTGAAAGGTTCAAAGGCAAACGGTCAAGTGGGAAATAGTTGTTCCCAGCTCTCCAGCCTCAGTGAGTGCTGCACTCACAACACAGAGTCTTCTCATCCTCTCATGCTCACACCCACAGCCCAAACTCACTCCTAACACTTTGCGTGGGAAGAGACCCATGTTAGCGTCTTCTCCCTGATGGGTGTTGGAGCTCCGGTGAGTCTGCCTTCATTGAGAGAAGGGTTTTTGCTTGCTCAAGTGGAGTAGTGGATGGGAAGTTGCCTTTTTCCCACCCATGATCCAACAAGCAATCCTAATCAAACTTAATGGGAGTCATTCTCGTGCACACACACACACACACACACACACACACACAGAGAGAGAGAGAGAGAGAGAGAGAGAGTAAATGGAAGGCCCATTAAAAAGTAGTGGACTGGGGGGGGGGAGGTTCATGCCTTTAATCCCAGCAATTGGCAGAGGCAAGTGGATTTCTGAGCTGGAGGCCATCCTGGTCCACAGACTGTGTTCCAGGACAGCTTTGGCTACACAGAGAGATTCTGTCTCAAAAAAAGGAAGGAAGGAAGGAAGGAGAAAGGAAGGAAGGAAGTCAGTTGGTAGTGGCCAATTCCTTTAATCCCAATCCTCATGAGGCAGAGGCAGGGTGATCTCTGTGAGTTTGGAACCAGTCTGGCCTATAGTATGTTTCATGAAAACTGACTAAACCTCTGAAACTGCAAGCCAGCCCCCCTCAATTAAATGTTTTCTTTATAAGAGTTGCTGTGGTCATGGTGCCTCCTTACAGCAATAGAAACCCTGGCTAAGACAAACATTTTCAAAGACCTCATAAAGGTGAAATGTTGCCTACAACAGGGACATATGGCTCCCTGCACAGTCACCAAAGTCCTTCTGTAACAGTGGCACATCCAACTTTGGCCTACAGGCCTCGCATATGTAACAGACAGTTTTCAGAAATAGGGAATTGTAAAGGGCTGTATTGCGGTAAATAAGGATCAGGATAAACAAATAGGCCGAATAGATGTTTATTCAGGGAGAAATAACTTACAACCTAGATAGATGAACACCAGGAAATTCAACCCGATCCTCTCCTGTCCGAGTCACACCAGAAAGAGAGCCTTTCCTGGCCCCCTCCGACCTCCTTCCACAGGTCACTTCTGCCCATGGCTCCACCCCCCAATGGGCGTGGTCAGTGCCACAGAAGGAGACAAAGTGAATATCCCACTACAGGGCTGTCCTAGCTTGTCTTGCAAACTTGCACAGTTTTGTTGTTTGGTTTTGTTTGTTTTTATTATTATTATTATTATTATTATTATTATTATTAGTTTTGTTTTATGCATCCTATTGATTCAGGTTGGACAGAATACTGTCAGCAACTGAGGCAAAGGCAGTTTCTTTGCCCAGTGGCTACTTTGGCCACAAAGAAAGCAAAATTCTTATAATTTCTTCAATGCCCATCATCTTCTTTGAAGAAGATTAGTGCTGACAGGAGCAGATATGTCTCACTGTCATGAAAATCCTTAAGTCATTAAACATAGTAAATGCCATAGTCTATAGATCAAAGACCATCAAACTATCTAAATATATCTGTGTGAGACCTTGAAAACATACCTAATATGACTATAAGTTTGATTGTAATAGATGGCTACCTATTAATCTGTATTTCTCAATTATATATTATATTTTTAAATGAGCTTTATAAACACAATACCTCAAACAAGAGTAGAAACATACATACGGTATAACAATATTAACTTTAACTATGTATCAACAAACCAAAGTCCATACCAATATAAAATATTTTGATATTAATGACTGTTTTTTGGATTAAAGTAGATTCAATAGTCTACTTTATAGTCTTATCTCATCACATGCCCCTTTTTCCTTTAGAAATATATTTTTGAATTTAACTCTTTTGTTTAGCTTTTTTTTTTAACTATGACTAATAATGACTTGTAATCAACCCGCCTTAATAGATAACAAATTTCCATAACTCATTTGGGGAATGTGAGTGTTGATCTCTAGACTACTTCCTGTTATTTGTGGGTACCGTTATCTTTGGGGAAATCTTGAGAAAATCAAAATAATTGTTAGGTCTTGGCTGGAGCAGTTTGTGTGGCTGGATCATCTCAGCCAGAAGCCTTGAAACTGATTTGGATGCAGAATTCTGAGGAGACTATAAAAGAGGCATCTAAATGCTGGATCACCTGGGTCATCCATTTTCATTGGTGTTTAATCCCTTTGATCTAAAAACACATAGATTTTTACAGGTAACATACATTTCAAGTACAGAATAGACGGAGTGCACAAGTCAGTTTAAGATTGTTTTGTTTGATGTTTGAGCAGGTAAAATACACCTTATATCTATAACGAGGATTTTCAGGGGGTCTTCTTCGATCAAACCAGATCATCTTTATCCAGGAATGAATCCACAGCCTCTGGGAAATAAAAACATAGCCTTTCCCTCAAAGCAACACACCTTTTGACTTCCATTTTGAAGTCAAGATATTTTTTAAATATATAGGTTGCTTTAATTTAGCAACTTTCATCATCCATTTTCTTAGAGGCCAAAAAATTTAAAGACAACATAGTAATGAACAGGATCCAGACCCTCTGTGTGTTTTCCATGTGTATGTGACCTTTTTCTTTTATTTCTTTACTCCCCTTTTAAGGACTTTACTTATTATTTTAAATCTGCATTTGGTTGCTTGTTTGTTTGTCCATTTGTGACTGTCTATATCACTTTTCCTTTGTCTCCCAAACCTTTGTACATTTTTTAAAACACTGTAACCCATTTAGAGATTTTTTTCCCCATCTAGATCTTGAGGGCTGGGTGGTGGTGGCACATGCCGTGAATCCCAGCACTTGGGAGGCAGAGGCAGGCAGATCTCTGTGAGTTTGAGCCGACCTGGTCTGCAGAGAACAGCCAGGGCTACACAGAGAAGCTTTGTGTCTCAGAAAAATAAATAAATAGATAGATAGATAGACAAACAAATAAATAAATAAGAGGATGATTAGAGAAGGAGACCAAGGTAGAGTCTGAACCTGGATCATGAGGAAAAGAGTCCATGTCATTCACAAATAGGAAGAGCTACCCTGTGTTTCAGTGAAGGAGTGAGATAAGCATATCCAACTGCCTGCCTGGTCCACCCACCCACCCACCCATCTGTTCTAGTCTGCTTTATTTTCCTGTGATAAACCACTGACCAAACCCAACCTGCTGGGAGGAAAGGATTTATTTGGCTTGCACATCACGGTCCATTTTGAAGGAAGTGTGCAAGAAGTCAGCAGGAACCTGGAGGCAGGAACAGGAGCAGAGGCCATGGCGGGGGGGGGGGGGGAGGGGGACGCTGCCTACTGGCTTGCTCTACAGGGCTGCTCTGCCTGCTTCCTTCTAGAACCCAAGACATGGCGGCATCACACATGGTGGGCTGAGCCCTTCCACGTCAATTAGCAATCAAGACAATGTCCCCAGAGATGTGCCCACTGGGCCAATGTGATGGAAGCAACTGCTCAAAGAGGTTCTTTCTTCCTGGAGTCTCTAGTTTGTATCAAGTTGACAAAAGCTTACTAGACACTATCAGCTGTCTATCTGTGTCTCTCTGTCTTTTATTATCTTTCTTTCTCTCCTTTTTCTTCTTTCCTCTCCAATGGCCTTGTATTTGTTGGTTGGTTTGTTTTCTTTACTGTGACCAAGCAATGACAAAAGCAGCGGGAAGAGTTTATTTTGTGTGTTGGCTTGAGGGAATTTAGGTCACCAGGTTGGGAGATGCAAGAGGGTGTGGTGTGAGGTGTCTGGTGACGCTGCACCCACAAGTGGAAAGCAAAGAGATGAATGCCGGTGCATACGCTAGGCTTTGGCTCACAGCACCTGCCTCTGCTCACCGAGAGGGGCCTCCATCCATCCTGCTCCTTGCAGGGAAGACCCTGAAGAGACACAGAGAGGGTGGCACAGGTCCAGGGATGCCCTGCTAGGCACTTTAGGTGTATCTGTAGCCGTGGAGTTTCTGTGATGAGCATGTGATGTCCACACTCACATGCACATACACACACACACACTCACACACACACCTGCGCGTGCACGCACACTCTCCTGTTCTAGAATATGAGGTTGTTCCTCTTCTCAGTAACATGTTTACTTCTCACTGCAGGGTGGAGCGTGGCAAGAGGTGAGAGAACCCCGCCCTTTGTCTTCACCGTTTCCTCTTTTCTCCATAGCAACTCTGTGTTTCTGTGTCTCTGTCTGTTCATGTGGCCAGACAGCTGTGGGTGAGTGTGAACCAGCCCCACCCCCGGTAAAGCTCTTGCCATCACCTTTCTGCCCTCTCTGACTCGACTCTTGCACTAATGACCATCTTAGATGGACGGGCAGGTGAAATCAACTCTTGAGAGTTCACACAACAGGAAGGCAGCAGAAGTCTGGAACCTTGGCTGTGTGGAGTGCATGCCTCACCAGACTTTGGTGGGACCTATTAACAAGTAGCTAATTTTTGTAGTCTCTGAAGCATGCTATCAAATGTGTAGTTCTATTTACTCTAGCTATCGTGAGCAAGGCTCTAAGGACATACCCAGTGTGAGGCCTGGTTTTGAGAGAATCACGGGTTAGTGGACACAAATTCTCTGCCTCCAGCTTCGTTCTACTGCTCACTCTGGGAAGAGGGGCTCAAACAGTTGCATCAAGACACCAGATTCCTGGGATCTCCTTCCCAGAGCATCAGGATAAACACCTGCTGTCCATGGTCCTGATTTCAGGTGTCTCCTTTCAGGCAGCAGTGTCTGTCTAAGTATGGATATGGTCCAGCCTGAGTGCTTGGCTTCCTTCATGCCTCATCAGACTCCCAACTGAGCAGCGGCAGCATCAGGCAGCCGCTTGATGTCACTCTGCATTAGTTAGCCTGGCCTTGACCTTCGTGACCTCACTCTTCGTATTCTAACTCCTCCCAGATGTTTCACCAGGTCAACACCCTCGTTCTTAGAGGTGAAGAATGCAGAATAGCCTAATGGGGTGACCCTGACCTTGTGTGGGAGAGGAAGGACGATCTCTCCTAATCTGAGACCAGAGGGACCACAGCTGGTTTCAGGTCTCAAGAAGACTAGGAAGATGACAAAGAGGAGGGCTGGGGAGGAGGAGCAGGGGGAGGAGCAGGGGGAGGAGAAGGAGGAAGCAAAACAATTTTTCCTCATGCCATTCTCCTTTTTGTTTTGCCAAATCTCCACGGCGCTGCCATTCTGTGCAAACCAGCTCTTTTACACAGATTTGCTGATTGACTATTTCTAAAGGTCAGCTTCCTTGTTTCTGTTGTTCATACAGAAGTGTCGTCCTCTGACCAGTACTTTCCACTCAGCAACATTTATAGATACTTCCAGGCTATAGCGGTGGTGAAGAAGGGTTCTAGAGAGCAGAAATGCTGTGTGTGTGTGTGTTCGTGTGTCTGTGTGTGTGTCTGTGTGTATGCATTTGTGTAGATGTGCATTTGTATGTGTGTACGTGCATGTGTGTGTGTGTGTGCATATGTGAGTATGTGCATTGCATGTGTGTGTATGTGTGTGAGTGTGTGCATGTTCATGTGTGTCCATGTGTGTTTATGTGTGTGTGCGTGTGTGTTCATGCACGTGTGTGTGTTCACGTGCGTGTGTGTGCACACAAGTGTGCAAGTATGTGCATTACATTTGTGCGAGTGCGTGCACGTGTGCATGTGTGTGCATGTCCATATGTGTTTATGTTTGTGTGTGTGTGTGCACATGTGAGTGTATGTGTGTGTGTGTTCATGTGCATGTGTATATGGATTCATATTTTTAGGGGGCATATGCACATACACATGTGAATGTATGACTGCCTGCGGCTGTAGGTGTGTGTGTGTGTTTGTGTGTATGAGTGTGTGTGTATGAGTGCACCTGAGTGTGCAGAGGCTAGGTGTTCTTCCTCAGGTACTGTGCACTTTGGGTTGTTTTTTTTGTTTGTTTGTTTGTTTTGTGACTTAGGGTCTCTTAGCTGATTGACTAGGGTTGCTGGCCAGTGAGCCCTAGGAATATACCTGGCTCTGACTTCTCAGCACTGGGATTACAAGCCTGTGCCACCATGCCTTGAATTTTTTAGCCCTGTGCTCCAGGGATGGAACTCAAATCCTCATACTTGCAAGCACTTTACCTACAGATCTGTCCCCCAGCCCTAGAAATTAGTTCTTGTAAAGCAACAAATCAGCCAAGCATGATAGCACATGTATCTAACCCCACATTCTGGAGGTAGAGACAGAAGCATGGCCAAAGTTCAAGCCTAGCCTTTTCTACAGTCTAGCTGAGTTACATAGTAAGAAGTTGTCTGAGAGAACCAAAAAATAAAAATAATAGCCCTAAGTAGTGGCATATCCCTAAAACCCCTGCACTTGGGAGGGGGAGACAGGAGGATCAGGGTTTGAAACCAGCCTAGGGTCCAGAGAAACTGTATCAAAATTTTAATTAATTTAATTAAAAACAAAAATCAAAAGCCTGTTCCAAATAAAATCAAAGCTATCTCTTTGGAAAGATGTCAGGAAGTGTAATGAAATAAGAGAAAGCTCTGTGATGTTGATGGCTGTGGCTGAATGAACTTGGACAGTGTCCCATTAACCGCATGTAGCATCTGTCACCCCCTCATGCCATCCATACTACTCCTGTGACCCAGTGCTCCAGGATCTGTCTGGAAGACATACTCTCTCCAGGAGCCAGCTTGATGGCCATGCTGCTTACCTCCTACAGAAAATGACCCCCAATCCTTGTCCGTAAATACACTTGAGTTGTGCCTAACCTTCCTACCGTGACTGGGGTCCTTAAGATCACTCAGGTCCTGGATCCTCAGGACTCACAGAGCAGAGCTGTCTCCCCAATGTCACTAGGAGTTACTAGATCACCAAGACACGCCAAACACAGCGGTCACCCCCAACAGCTGTGTCATTCCAGGAAAAGGTGTTATCCCCCTGTGCCCCCATGATGATGTGAGTTTATATGACATATGGACCCTCAGAGCTGAGACTGTAAGGACCACCATTGGTTTCTTGCCACCTACAGTAGAATGGAGGCATCTTCAGCCTGGGCGGGGAGGAGGGTAAGCTGACTCAGTTTGTCCAAGAACAAGAAATAAACATGTGTGGTTACAACAGTTGGTAGTTTTGCTTTGGCAACAACTGTCATAAAAAGCAGATTAATCCGGCTTGTGTCCACTCCCAGAGGGCCCGCTCCTGGGGTCCACACTCTTCTAGCTTACCAAAGTAGCACGGCCAGTCACTGGATGATAGCTTTGCAGAAAAGGCCTTGCTACCCAAGGCACATCTACCATTGCAAATGTAACCTGTTCAGGATCAAGAGAGGACATGGCTTATCACACACATACAGGAGTTGTCATGTGTAAGCCATACCATGTACATGGGAAATTCTTCACATGTGCTACACATGCCACATACATGTATGCAACACACACAGCATACATGTAACACATGCAGGCAGTGCATAGAGTACACACTACATGTGACACATAGATATCACACACATCATATGTGTGTATGTTATAATTCACATAGCTATGCACGGTACTCAAGCTACACATGCTGTACACATGATGCACATGTACCAAGCACATCAAATGTATTTATGTTCACCACTATTTACACAGTAGTATGTACCACACACATTCCTTGCCAATGGTCCTGTTTCTGGGACAGAGTCACGTGGTTGTAACAATACAATAGGAATAATATCTTCATTGCACACACACACACACACACACACACACAAGAACATATGCACACTGCTTCACACATAGCCACACACTTCACACAAAAACACGTATGTGCCAGGCTTTTTTCATTTAGGCCACCAACCAGCTCCCAAATCATGACACAGAGACTTTTTTATTCATTTTGATTGCTCTGCATTAGCTTATGCTAGTTTCTGGCTAGCTGTCTCATTTTTTGTTTGTTTGTTCTGTGACTTAAATTAAGCTGTTTCTCTTCTTGCATGTTTTGCCGCGGTCTGTTACCTCTCATTCTTTCTGTATGTCTCATTTTCCTGCTGTCTCCATGTCTGGCGGGCTGATCCCAGGGGTCCCCTGTCTTTCTCTGTCATTCATGTCTCCTTCCTTCCTCTCCTGCCTAGATTTCCCTCCTCTTTATTCTCTCTGCCTGCCAGCCCTGCCTATCCCTCCTCTGCCTAGTGATGGGCCATTCAGCTCTTTGTTAGCCCGATGAGGTGCCTGAGGCAGGCAAGGTGAGAACATATCTTTTCATAAATGAGCAAATGCAGCAAAAACAATTCTAGCACACATTTACCTTGTTAACAAAGGCAGCAGAAGCAAATGGAACACGCCTGGACACAGTTGAAGTAACATTCCACAGCATGAACAAATGTAACACGTCTTTATTTTTCATGTTTTTAATTGTTTTTTCTTATTTTACATATCGATCCCAGTTCCCTCTCCCTCCCTCCCATGTCCCTGACCCTCCTCCCTTCCCATCGCATTCCCCCCCCCCCCACTCCACAGGGAGGGCGATGCTTTCCAGGAGGGAACAACAAAATCTGTCAAGTCATTTGGAGTAGGGGCTAGGCCTTCCCTCCTGCCGCTAGGTTAAGGGAGTATCCCTCCATGGGGGATGTGCTCCCAAAAGTCCTTTTCTGCACCAGGGATACATACTGGTTCCACTGTCAGAGGTCCCTTAGACTGCCCAGGCCTTTTAACTGGGCCCATGTTCAGGGCGTCTGAGTCGGTCCAATGCTGGATATTCAGGTATCAGTCTGGGATCCATTAGCTCCCCTTGTTCAGGTCAGCTTTCTCTGTGGGTTTCTGAAGCCTGGTCTTATCCCCATTTTCTTATCACTCCTCCCTCTGTGCAACTGGATTCCAGGATTTCAGCTCAGTGTTCAGCTGTGGGCGTCTGCTTCTGTTTCCGTCAGCTACTGGACGAGGGATCTATGATGGTGGTTAAGTCAGTCATCAATCTCACTATCAGGCAAGGGCATTTGTCAGGCAAGGGCCTTTCCACTGTTGCTCAGATTGTTAGTTGGGGTCAGTCTTGTAGGTCTCTGGACATTTCTCTAGAGTCAGTTTTCTCTTCAAATCTATAATGGCTCCTCTATTATGGTCTATCTCTCTCTCTCTCTCTCTCTCTCTCTCTCTCTCTGCTCTCGTCTATTCCTCCCCTGACTCAATCTTCCTGGTCCCTCATGCTCTCCTCTCCTCCCCTTCTCTTTCTCCTAACTCCCTCTCCACTCACTGCCCCCACACTCCCAATATACTCAATGTAACACATGTTCACATAGAGAAAATAATATCCCACAACACACATATGCAAAAACAACACACACAATCACATATACAAACCCTAGTGGCCCTGACCCAGGTCCCCCCTGTTTCCAGGGCCACTTCTTTCCCTGTCCCCTTACTTCCTTACTGCTCAGTCTCAACTCCTGAGTCTGGCAAAGGCAGTGTCCCTGCTCAGCCCCCTCTAAAGTGGAGGCCACTTTAGGACCTGATCACAGGAAGCCTCAAGCCTGACCCACCTCAGACCTCAGAAGTGGGACTCACGTTTCCCAGAGTCCTTCATCCAGCTCTTGCCAGCACTGGGCGAGTCCTCATGGGGAGAATCCCGACACACACAGTGTCTGTACGGCGAGGAATACAAGACATGACAATGTTTTTTCCATCCACCTTTACCACCCTGGAGGATTAACAAGATGCAAGGAAGAGACTGGCCAAGCATCCCTCAGAATTGTTCCATGAACCTCCCATTCACAATGATCTTAAGACGGTTTCACTGTGAGCCACACAGGCACATACGGTGTGGGATTCATAAAAGTGCGCCCAAAAAAGGGACCACAAGGACCTCAGTATGCTTCCACCTTCCAGATTGCCATGTCTCTGTCCCCAGACGGGTCCATGATCCCACCAGCGGCAGAACTATCCAATCAGGGGGCTGTCCATCACAGCCCTGGGCAGAGACACGGAACACATGGCCTAAGAGAGAATAAGGGGTCAGTGGCTGCGAATCAGCAATGTGTATTTTGTTGTGTTCTGAATGTACAGGCATGTACAACAACAGGATAGGGACAGCTCTGTCCTTCAGGCCCTCTGTGTCCTCCCGTGACAGCAGGGAGCAGACATTTCCAGCTGGGATGTGAGAAGTCCTAACTCTGACTTCTTCATGACTCCCTGTCCTGATGACAGCCATGTCGTCCCTGAAGGAGCAGAAGCCCATAAGGTGAGGAGCATCACCAGGCTCCAAACAACATCGTCTTGCCTTCTTCCCCAACACCAGAGGGAAATGTACCACAGCATTGGGAACTGAGAGTCAGAAAGGAGAGATCTGAGGTTATTCTTCATTCTCCTTCCAACACACAGCACCTACCCAAGATAATGACAACGGGTCCATGTCTAGCTTTGGGGCCAGGACATACAAGGAGACAGAGTCACCAGGTACACTCAATGGGTGGAGGATTTCTGTGAGTTCAAGTTCAGCTTGAGCTACATAGTGTATTCCAGCCCAGCCTGGGTTGCAAGATGAGATACTGTCTCAAGTAAACAAGATCTGAGACCAATCTCAATTGGTAAAATGTGTGCCTAGCACGCATGAAGCGCTGGCTTCATTCCTGAGCATAATACACATGGGGTGTGCTGGCACACACTTGTAATACCTACATTCACCAGGCAGAAGCATCGGGACCAACTCAAGGTCATCCTTAGCTATACAGAGGCCACCTCTGGCTGGAGAGGCTGCCACAAACACACAACAAACCAAAGAATCAAACAGAATCAAATGACAGAGAAGACAGAGCTGTGACTTACAGGTCTGTACCCTTTTGGGGACACAGCATCAAGATGAACTCTGGCCGAGATATCCGTGAAGCTAGAAATGGTGCCAGAGACCCATAGACTAAGAGCTCTCTATGGAAGGCTAAGCTGAATTTTGGAAGGAGAAGGTTCCTCTTTGCTCACAGAGAAGGAGCAAGAGAGGATGTACAGCTCTCACGTCCACTCAGGAAGTGGCACGTCACAGACGGTGGGCAGCCTGAACAGAAAAAGAAATGTTCTCTAGGGCTCTGCCAGGGGTGGGAAGGTTGTGAAGCCCTTAGCTGAGGGCCAGGGGACAGGTAGCATCCTCAGTCCAGGGCCTTGCATGTGCCCCTGACCGGGAGTGAGAGGAGGCAGTGCCTGGAGCACTTCCTGCCCCCCTCCACCCTGTGCATTTGGAGCCTCACATGAACCAGGAAGCAGGAAGGAAACTGAGGCACGTGAACATCGACCATAAATCTAGGAGCGCGCCCTTCTGCTTTCTTTGGCTTGGGTGGAAACAGGAGACATAGAGCTGAAGAAATGGTCCCAAGAGTGATGGCAGTATGGCTGCCTTCAGCCCTGCTCCTCCTGGGGGCCCCAGGTGAGCACGGGGACAGGGACGGGGGTTACATTGTGAGAGGGAAACTCCTGCTGTAAGTGAGAGGGCATGACAGGCCCATGGGCTGGGGTGGGAGAAGCAGCCAGCAGAGGCAGATGACGCCAAGAGTGAGGGCAAGAGTCAGGCTGGGCAGGAGAGGCTGCATCGCCTCACAGGGGCTGCCAGCCCTCAGGGACAGCCATGTCTACCACACCAGACACAGTCAGGACTTACTGAGGGGGCCAGCTGTGACAACAGTTGTTGCCAGAGAACAGCACGATCTCCGTTGTGTACGCGCATGTATCTGTGGACACGTGTGTGCATACCAAACACACACAAGTAAGTGCTCATTCCCACAGGGACACATGTCTCACACACACAGAAACATGCACATGTATATGTACGTAGGTAAAGTTTCTCTCTCCCTCTCTCTCTTACACACACACGCACACACACACGCACGCACGCACACACACGCATGCACACACACAGTATTGTTCCTCCTAGGCTCTTCCTTTCTCCAGGACAAGCCTCTCCCTGCCCCCTCTTGAGGATAACAGAGCTGCTCACCTCAGTCCTGACTCCTGATCTCACAAAGCCTGGTTCCTTTCTCACGCCTTCCTCCAGACCAGGCAGCTCCCTGAGACCTGGCCAAGGCAGGCCTGGCCCCCATCCAGCTGTGAGGGTGCAGAATTCGGCTTGTGTTTTCCAGGCTGTGTCCCTCTTCGTGGCCCCAGCTCTGTGATAGGCACTGTGGGGGAATCCCTGAGTGTGGAGTGTCATTATGAGGAGAGATACAAGGCTCAGAACAAATACTGGTGCAGAGTGTCACTGCTGCTATGCAAAGGTATTGTCAAGACGGGAGCCTCAAATGAAGCTAGGAAAGGCCGAGTGTCCATCAGGGACCATCCAGCCACGCTCACCTTCACAGTGACCTTGGAGAACCTCACCCTGGAAGATGCAGGCACCTACATGTGTAGTGTGGATATACCATTTACCAATGGCTCCTGGTGGGAGATCACTCCCTCCTTGGGGATTAATTCTTCTTTCAAAGTGGTGGTGTCTGTGGTCCCAGGTAAGCCCTGTCATGCCTTGGCCCCCTGAGTCCCGATCTGTCACTTCCTCATAAAAGAACGAGGCCAGATACAATAGCAAGGTGAACTTGGTCAATCAGTAACTCAGGACACAGTGAGTGAGTCCATAGGTGCCACTGTGAGAGCATGTGTGATGGGTGTGATAGTAGCATGTGTACAGCAACACATGAGTATGCATGCACACACAGGCACAACGAGGAACGTGAGTTCTTACAAACACTCTTCTCAGTAATTTGGATTATATTTATTTGTTTGTTTCGACTTGCCCATGGTGTGTGCCACTCAGAGAAAAAATTCTGGGACTCAGTTTTATTTCCCACAGTGTGGATTCTGGGCTCAAACTCAGGTAAACCAGGCTTGGCAAGCAAGGGCCTTTACCCACCGAGCTGTCTCATCAGCCCCTGTTGGAGATTCTCTGTGTGTCCCATGTGATAGACCCAGGCCCGAACATTTCCAGACACAGGCCGTGAACCACTGACTCTTTGTGACTTCCTGTCCTGATAGGAGATGAGTCCTTCCCAAGGTCCATCCCCTGCTGTCCCCATCTCCATGTGGGAACAGTACCTGGCACCTGCTCCCCATCACAGGCTGCTCTGTCCTGGGACCGAGTAGACACTTCCCTTCCATGAGGGACCAGCCTCATCACAGTGGTTCTGGGGCTTCTGAGAGGAAGCAGAGACACAGGATGGAGCTGGCACTATGTATGAGGCTTCTTGATCCCTGAGGAATCCCTCCAGCCCCTGCTAGTTCCCCTGTATCCCCCTTTCCCAGGAACCATTTCCTGATGAAGAAACTCAGAGAGTCTTCCAAAGGTGCTTCTTCCCAGCAGAGGGTCACAGGGGACAGACCACAGGCTCTGCGCCACTTTGGTCCCAATGTTCTCCATGTCTACAATTCATTCTCCCCCTACTGGAACCTCCCTTGCTTGTAGACCCCAATTAGCACAGATCTTTAAGGGCAGGGTGGTGGCAGGAGCTGAAGGGGCTGAGCAGCTCTGCTTCCCGGTGTGATTTCCTCTCTGACAGGGGGTTTGTGCAGTCCAGGTTGACCACAAGCCCGCTGTGTAGTTGGCATTCGTCTTGAGTGACTGATCTTCCTGACTCTGCCTCCCCGGCACTGGGATTACAGGCTGGCATCACCACACCCAGCTTCCAGCTCTGGTTTCTGGGTTTTGGTTTCCCCCTCACATAAGCCTCCCTCCTACATCCTCTGTGGGTTCATCCTGAAGAGCGTGGAACCAAACCCCTTTGGCGTCACTGATTCTCTGCTGTAGAGGCCACTCTGCACAGGGGCCTTCAAACATGGACCCTTCTAGAACTTTCCATCTGTCCATTCCTCAGAGAAGACAGCCCAGTGGCCTCTCAGGCTGACAGTGTGGGAATGATGGACTAGGCAGACAGAGTCTCACCAACCCCTGTCTGTCCCCAGAAGGATGGGAGGCAAGGACATAAATGGTGTGATGAGGCCAGATGGGATCTGGCACCAAGTGTCTTTCCACTGACACTTACTCGCTCCTCTATAGGAAGACTGGCCTCAAGTTTGGTTGTGCCAACCAGCCACAATGCATCATTGGAAGGGCTGGGATGGAGGCCCTGTCCAGGCCTTGGTGTGTCCATGGGGCTTATGGGCTGACATACAGCTGTCCACCACGTCCCTGGGGACCTGTGTGATGCAGAGCTACAGAGGGATCAGTGGGTAGGAGACGGAGTTAAGGTCACTGGGACTGTCTTGTGTTTCCAACCTTTTCTGCTTCACAGGCTCTGATCCTAAGAGCAGAACAAACACCCTGGAGTCCCCGACAGCTTCACCTGGGCACACTCAGGCCAGCGTGGCCACAGAGGGCACAACTCCTGGTCCCAGCCCACACCCTCGGTGAGGAACCACTCAATATCCCTGAGGCGTCTGGATTGGGGGTGGGGATAATGCTGAGAGGTGAAGGCAGGGGTTAGGCTCTCCCTCCTGTGGGCCTCCTGCATCCCAGTCCCACACTGACCTAGTGGGTGTCTTTAAAGCCAGTTGCTCATCTAATTATCAGGACACAGCAAGGATACCCAGACCCAGACCTGCTGAGATGCACTTAGTTTCCTGCCTGAGGTTACTACACAAACATCCATAGCCTGGGGAGACAGCTCTGCTGCTAAAGTACTCTCCTTGCAAGCACAGGGATCTGAGTTCGAACCACAGCACCCACCCATATGTCAGGCTTGGTGGCATACACTTTAAATACCACCGTTCTACACGTGGGAACAGGAGGGTCCCTGAGACTCAATGGCCAGTCTGCCTAGCCTACTTGGCAAGCTCCACGCCAATGGGAGATCCTATCGGATAACAAGATAGATGGACCAGGAGTGGTGCCCATGCCTTTAATCCCAGCACTTTCAAGGCAAAGACAAGCCGATCTCTGTGAGTTTAAGGCCTGGACTACATAGCAAATTCCGTTCTAGCCAGAGCTACATAGTGAGAGCTGTCTCAAGACAGACATAACAAGGTAACGATTCTTCAGAAGTGACACCCAAGGGCATCTCTGACCTCCACATTCATGCACACATGTGTGCACCTGCATACACACACATGGACACACACAGAGACACCTCTAAATTAATCAATTAACTAATGAAAGTACTGGGGAGGCAGAGGCAGAAGGATCTCTGTGAGTTCAGTGCAGTCTGATCTACATAGTGAGTTCCAGGACAGCCTGGTCTGCACAATCAAGAGACCTGTCCAATAATAATATTAATAATAATAATAATATTAATAACAACAACAACAAGTAAGAGTCACTAGGAGGAGACAGAGAGTACTCAAGTGGGTGGGGAAGGCCGTGCCTGCCTGGACAGAAGCCTTAGGAGTAGAGTTGCATGAGGCTGGTCTGGAGTGGGCCAAGCCCACAGTTCAAGGCTGCTTCTTGGACTCTCTGTCACACTGGTCATTGAGACAGGGCCGCTTTGTCCCTGAACACAGCACTGTGGACATACCTGGGTTAAAGAGACAGGCTCACAGTGCAGGGCAGCAGCACTGCATTCTGGGAAGGGAGCTAACTGGGACCCTGTCCCCACAGGTCCCTACTCAACAGCATCTACTTCCAGCTCCTGGTCTTTCTGGAGGTGCCCCTGCTCCTGGGCATGCTCGGTGCCGTCCTCTGGGTGAACAGGCCTCTGAGGTGCTCTGGGGAGAATCGGCATTGTCCCGATTATGAGAACTGGTGACGTCTGTTGACAGCGAAATCCTGTCCCTGTCATCACACACAGTCCTCTGGTGGCAGAGGACAATCTGTGCTTCTGAGAACGCTGGGACTTTTAGAAGATTCTTTGTGCTGAATGAAACACCTAAACATGTGCCCAGTAAACACACAGACATTTTAATAGCGTGTCTGTACTTTCTCTTTATAATTTCACGCATGTACAACATGCCCTCAGGCCTGTGTCCCCTCCCCCTCCATGGTCCATCCCCCTCCTTTCCATTTTTCTTTTTCTTTTGGTATCCACTCAGTTCAGTTACTACCCCCTGCCGGAACGCTAGCCGATCTTGCATCTTGGTCTTGTGCAGGTATCTGCTGCTGCAGTGTGGTGTGTAGTGGCCATGGCGCAGCCAGAACGCAGCATCTCCCAGCATTGTCCTCCTTCTCTCTGGCTGTGGAATTCTTTCCTCTCCTTCTTCCTTCTGTAACATCCCTGAGCCTTGGGGTAGGGCGGAGGTGCTTTAGAGTGGGGGAGGGGTCCCTTGGGGTCGGGTGGGGTGCCTTGTGGTAGAATGGGGTTGCCTAGGGGTAGAGTGCTAGTCCCTTGGGGTAGGGTGCAGGGTTGAAAGTAATGTCCCCACTTACTGTGGAGCACTCAAGAGACACTTTTCCTCCGCACTAAAATCACAGCAGAGGGAAGCTTCAACCAAGGCTGAGGACAGCACTAATCAAAGGGTATGGACATAAATATGTAGATGGAAGTTTGACAACGTGCCTTTCTCCAGATTCAGAAGTGGAATATGGTCCATACTGATGACCCCGCCTTCTGATGTCACCTTGCTGCTTTCCACCATCCTTGGTAACAAGCTCAACCTGGTTTTTTTTTGTTTTGTTTTTTATCTGTTGACCTTAGGGTTTTGTCATATATAGGCACATAGGTTTGCCAATTTTGTATTGTTTAATGTCTCTATTTCTGATGGCTATATAGACAGAGTTATCCTTTTTTCTTTTTTAAACGGGGTCTCACTATGGAGCCCTGGTCTGGAACTCACTACATAGATCATATTGGCCTCTAAATCACAGATATTCACCTGCAACATCACGCCTGGACCAGGGGTACACTCCTATCCCTCAGTGTTCAAGAGTAAAGCCTGACATGCAGAACAAGTACTTGGCCACAGAGATGCACCTCAGCCTGTTCCTCTGTCTGTCTGTCTGTCTGTCTGTCTGTCTGCCTGTCTGCCTGCCTGCCTGCCTGTATGTCTGTCTCTCTATCTCTCTCCCTTTCTTCTTTCTTCTCTTCCTTCTTCCTTTTCCTTCTTTAACAGGGTCTCAGTACATAGCCCAGGCTAGTTTCCAACTCCTCATCCTCCTGCCTCAGCCTCCCTAGCTGAGATTATAGGCGTGTGCTGCCAGGCTCAGCATGCACGCTTCATTTCTAAGTCTTCAGTTTTACCACTAGACATTGTGCCTTTGAGAATCCTGCACACTGACGTGTTGACACTGTAACATGCATCTTGTTTGTGTTGCCCTCTGACTGGTTATGTTAGCACACTATCACATAGTTTCCCTTCTGTGCATAAACAGTTTAGAACCTTCTTTTCCTTTTCTTCTCCCTCCTCTCATCCTCCCCTTGTTCCCACCCTCCCCCATCCTGTGTTTGTGATGAAACAGAACACAAGATGATCTCCTGACACATGCCCTCTATGTAGTCCTAATGGCTGTCCTGAAACTCGCAGCATCCACCTGCCTCTGCATCCCTAGTGCTGGCAATAAAGGTGTGTAGCATCATGCCTGGCATGGAGACATCTCTCGGTTGAGGTTCCCTCCTCTCAGATGACTCTTGCTTAGGTCAAATTGACATAAAATCTAGCCAGCACAGTGAATCAAATGAACCTTTTAGATAACTTTCCCAGCTATGGACATGGAGGGTAACCTCAATTATTTGTGAGCTTTGAAAATACCCTTTTAAGAGTTGGTGAGATGGATCAACTTATTGTGAAAGCCTGGCTACCTGAGTTCAATACCCAGAATTATGGTAGAAGGAGAGAATCAACTCCAAGAAGTTATCCTCTGGCTTCTACATGCAATCTGTGTTGCACACCCACACTCACAAACACATCAAACACACAAACACAAGAAATAAGATTTAAAATAAGTAATGAAAAGTTATTTAATAAAACATTTCTTCTTTGAAACCTGTTTGTATGATTGTTAAATTTGATTTTGAATAACTTATGTTTTAATTCCTAGATTTTTAAAAAGATTTATTTTAATTATTTGCATATGGCGAGCATACACACATACACACACACTCACATACACACACACTCACACACATACTCACACTATCAACTGGGGATAAATATTCAATGCCAGATGTGCCTAGCACAGCCCACAACACGTGAGCTGGGAACTCAGCTCATCATTACAGCATAGATCATTTCTCGACCTAATTCCAAGAATGTTCTACCCTTAACCCAAGACTAGACATCCCCACAACTGGTCTACAGGCTTGCCTCCTTTGTCTCTGCTTGCCTTATGCAGTTCCCTAGCCCCCTCACTTCTACTGAGTGACCAGCCCTGCAGGAACTGAGACTTCTTGTGCTGAGTAATTGGCAGCAGGAAGTACCCACTCTATAAAAGGAAGCAGATGAGTAGGTCACTCACAGGCAGCCTGGACAACAGAAGGGGTCAGACGGGCTCTCCCATGCTTTGGAATCCAGCTGGGATTTGGATTTGCAGCTGGCTGTGGGTCAGGGGTGTGGAGTGGGGAGGTGAGACCATGTGGTGGCTGTCCCCAACTCTGCTTCTTCTCAGTTTCCCAGGTATGTTCATCTAGGATCTGGAGGCTTGGGGACTGGGGTTGCTTGGACAGAGCAGGGGGCAGAGGGCTCTGTCCTGGGTTTGACAAGAGCCGCCACCTTCAGGAAAATGAAGCTCTGTGGCTTCATTCAGCAAAAGGACCCTTGGTTCCACATCATGCCAGGCATGTGTCGGACCTGGGAACATGAAGGAAGGAATGGAGATGGCCGTTAAAGAGATCCCAGATGCTCTGGTGGGTTAACAGCAGGAAGAAACCCGACAGAAGAGAGGGAAGCTGACAGGAGGGAGATGCTATCACTAAGGGAGCTACAGAACCGCCCCCCCCCCTTGGACCTGTTCCTTCCATGCTCCAGAAGGAGGCAGATCTTCACAGCCCTTGCAGCAAGCAGAGCAGGCACTCCATGGATAAGGCATGGCTTGGGAAAAGGGCCACAGGCTCAGAGAGGATGGCACACCCATGCAGAGGGAGCACTCAGTGGGCAGGATGGGGGGGGGCGCTGTCTGAATGTGAGTTTGGAAATGCAAAAGGCAAAATGATGTCTGACAGATGTGGATGTTTGCATGGCCTCGCTTGCATCTGAGTTCTAGGCCCCTGCCACCTGCTCTCTAAATCTCAGCATCAGGCTGTCCTAGAGGCCAAGCAGGACAGCAGTAAGCTGTGCGTGGCTTGCTCATTTACACACACACACACACACACACACACACACACGCACACATGCACACAATTCACTAGTGCACATAAAGGCATACAGCTACATACTGTCACCCTCCACAATCATCACTCACTCACACTCACACTCTTAAGATGCCATACACTGAGACCGTTCACAGAACGGATTTCAATTCTCATTGTATTATGTGTGTGCCTGTGTTCTGCCTGAATGTATGTAAGTGCATCATGTGAGTGCCTGATGCCTGTAGAAATTGAAGTTATGGATGGTTGCAAATTACCATGTTGGAGCTCAGAATGGAACTTGGGTCCTCTGAAAGAGCAGCCAGTGCTCTTAACCACTGAGCCACCGCCGCCGCCGACGCCACCACCACCACCCTTTTTTTTTTTTTTTTTTTTTTTTTTTTTTTTTTTGATACAGAGTCTCATTGTGTAGCCCTGACTGGCCTGGAACTCACTATGTAGACCAGGCTGGCTCCAGACTCAAAGAGATCCTTCTGCCTCTGCCTTCTGAATGCTGGGGTTAAAGGCATATGCCACTATACTTACCTTGTTAGGTAACTTTAAAAAATACTCTGAGAATAATGTGCTTTGGACATCTTTCCTGTCATTGTTTGGACATTGCCCTTTACTTTTTAACTATGCAATTGCTATAACCAAACTTCCCAGTCTAATTCCCTACTAATGGCATTTGCGTTTTCCAAGTGTTTACTGTTACATCAGTAGTGAGGCTACTGGCCCACGCTCCACTGTCTATAGCAAACCTACAACTACAACGATTGTGTGCCTGCCCACAACACACTGATTCTTTACAAAATAGCTAACAGCTTTGTGGTACTCACCATGAACTAGAAACTGAGCAGGACTGGTGTTGGGGAGGGAGAGAGGAAATGCGGCACCTCTGTGCTTTGACAGTGAGAAACTTACTGAGGGCATTAGGAAAAGAGATGGGTACCTGAAATGAAGTAGTCGGGCTCCAGATGAAAAGCCAGGGGGCCCACAGGAGTCAGCAGCTCCAAGAAAAGGGTAAGGCATTGGAAAGCAGCCCGGACTGGAGGAGACGTGTAAGTTGGCAGGACTAGAGCTTCCCAGGCAGGACTAAGGCCACACCCTTAAGAGGGCACATTGCGGTTAGAAAAAGGGAAAAGCTCAGGGAAAAGACTCCCATGGGAGCAAGAAATGACAATAATGAGAAACTAAAACTAGTTTGCAATAAGACATCCATGCCAGAAATGAAGCTGACTTGCTGGGCACAGCTGAGGAGGAGACGGGCTCAGTCCAGTCCCGGCAACAGTCTGAACTGGAAGATGGATCACTGGATTGTTCTGAATGCTATTACCACAATCCAGGTACCAGACGAGGGCCGTCTCTGACCACACAGCCGGATGTCCAGCATTAGATGGTTACATGGGGTTTATAACCCCAGTCTCTGATGGAAAGTAGCATGGCAGCAATGCAAAGTAGGGAGTGAGGCTCAGTGAGTAACTTACCCAGGGTTCTCAACAACACTGTGGGGATGCATCTTTCTGTTGGCAAAATTCACACTGTGCCTGCTCTGCTGTGATGCCCCATGGGCTGTGGCAGCACAAATGAAAAGAAGATGGCTCAGATTGGCATTTCCAGGGTGGAGTTGGCTGAATAGTGATAGCCGATCACTTGCGGAGGGAAGGAGAGGAGAGATCCATGTTGATGCTAATTCTCCAATTAGACTCCTAGGGGAGCGAGCTCAGGGCTTACAAGGTTGTCTGCCTGAGTTCTTCATGCCATAAACAAGTGACCACAAATTCAGTGGCCTGGAACAACACAACTTCATCTCACTCTTCCAAAATCAAGAGTTCAAAATAGTCTCACTGGCCAGAGTCAAGGTTGGGTTTCTTCTGGAGCTCCAGAGAACGATCCGTTTCTAGGCTTCATCCAAAAGTCCCCTTGCATCTGTTGGCCCACAGCCTCACCTCGTCTTCCAGGCCAGCAGCAGAATGCCTTCCATCCCAAGCCATTTCAACATTCATTCATCAGGACACAGAATTATCCAGGACAATCTTACCTCAATGTCCCTGTCACACCTGTAAGGGCCTTTATTCTTTTTAAAACTACAGATGGGGATATGCACATTGAAGGTTCTTTTGTTAATCTTGTTATTTTCTCTGGTGTGTATATGTGTCCTACAGTGCTCATGTGGAGGTCAGGGGACCTCCATTCACCTGTACTTGGGTTGCAGGGATTGAACTCCAGTTTCCAAGTTTGTGCCACAATGTATCCATCCCAGTAACTTCCCTTTGTCTGTGAGAGCCACAATGTATCCATCTCAATAACCTCCCTTTGTCTGTAAGAGCTCACATAGTAACAGGTTGGGTACATAGTAACAGGTAGAGTATTAGAATGTCAATAGTCAGCACTTAGTAGGCACAGGTAGGCATATGTCTATGAGTTCAAGGCCACCCCAGACAGTGGTTCTCAATCTGTGGGTCATGACCCATTTGGTGGGATCTAACAACCCTTTCCAAGGGGCTGCCTGAGACATTGGAAAGCACAGATATTAGAAGCAAAATCACAGTTGTGATGATGCAAAGAAAATAATTTTATGGTTGGGGTTCACCACAACATGAGGAATTGATTAAAGGGTTGAAGCATTAGGAAGGTTGAGAATCACTGATGTAGTGAGTTCGAGGCTTGCCAGAGCTACAAAGTAAGATCCTGTCTAAAAAAAAAAAGTGAACAGTGTTGTTCTTTTGTTTTAATTACTGCCTAATGGAACACAAACATGAGATTCAGTGCCCATGTGGAGTTTACTGGTAGGGGGGAGAGAAATGGGGAGTAGCTGGTGGTCAACCAAAAGCAGGAGAGAGAGAGAGGAGGGAAGGGGGGACGCTTGGCCTGCTTGCTTTAAAAGGGAAACTTGTGCATGCCTAACTGCCCAGCCAGGTACGTGTTATAGCGATGACATCGTCATGAGCATCCCACCCGTCGTCAGGGAGCAGGGTCAGCAGACTGCTGGTTTCCAACAAACAGTCTGTGAAGAAGGGTTATTCTGTCAACCATAGATGCAAACCTCAAATAAAAACTAAATTAGCTCTACGGAGAACCAGCCTATTGTGCAAACCCACCCCACTCAGAGACCAAAGTCTAAGACTGAGAGATGGTCTTTGCTTCCTGGTGACTGAGAGCAGGGGTCACGGTAAGGAAAGAGTGTATCTGTGTTTAGTCAACTTCACTGGGCTCACTCCACACGCCAGTATACACATTCCACAGAGACACTCTCCAGACTATTTTGGGCTTTGGTTCCTCTGCCCCCTGTTAGCGAGAGGAAGCAGAGTGGGCTCTGTGGAAGAAGAGGGCAGGATATGGTGGGTGTTTTGGAATGATGCTTGGGATACAGTGAGTGTTTGGAATGAGCTCTAAAACCAAGGAGAGCATTTGGACTACAAGTGTCACTTGGAAATCATCAGATTGTAGGCATTTATTAGAACCACAGAGTGGAGGCAAGAAGCCTAGAGAGAAGATGCTGGGCGTGCTGCTTCATGGTCTCATTGTTGGAGGCTGTGCTTGCAAGGCTGCAGTCGAGCCAGCTGAGCAGTCCAAGGTTCTTATGAGAGGGGGAGTGTGGATGGGAGAAAGGCTCGCTAAAGGGGCTAAGAATCCAAGACAGAGACACAGGACAGCTGTCAGGAGGGCCATTCACTCCATACTGAATGTACCCTTAATTTATTCTTTCACAATCTTATGTATTCAACCAACAGTAGGGACAAAATGGTAGAAGACCTCTATTAGCATATATAAGGAGCAGCAAGATTTACTTCCCTTAATCCTCTAAGTATTTGGTAGTCACACCAGCCATCCCCGCCTTCAGGGTCCAGAGTAAACATACCTAGGCCCAAGTCTATTGTTATCTTGATGAGAGACATCCACCACCAACGACAAAACATCCCATAACTGCCTAACTAATGTCTTATAGATAATAAGACAGATTTGAGGTCTCTGAACTTGAGATGGAATGGACTCCTTTTCATGGGTCCTGACGTCAGATTAGCATCATCCAGGAGACACACACATCTGGGTTTTCCTGTGAGGTTCTTTCCAGGGACTTACACAAGGAGGCAAGACGATCCTGGATGTGGGTAGCACTATGCCATGGAGTGGGAGTCTGGGCTGAATATCTTCTTTTCATGAGAAAGCGGGCTGAACACCAGCATTCACCGCTGCTTGCTGATGGCAGATGTAATGTGACCTGCCACCTCACATTCCCACCACCATACAGTTCTAGTCATGATGGATGCAGCCCTCAAATTGAGAACAAGAATTGAAAAACAAAAACAAAACCCTGCTTCCTTCTTTAGTTGCTTTCGGGCATTTTTATCACAGCTAGGGGGAAAGTAACTCACACCCTAGATTTCTCCAGTTGCATGTAGAACCAGCTCACAATGGCTCGCAAGAGTTGGTTTGAGACATCTCATCTCAGCTCCGTGCTCATTGATAGCTTGATGTCTGTCTCAGTGGGGGCATTTACACCACAGAGATTGGCAGATATTACTAAGATAGAAGGATGTTACCTAGACAGGAGTTTGTTAAGCATTTCCCAGCATGCCACTGGATCTGGAGAGAGGGGAAAGGGAAAGGCCACAGAGTGGAATAGTCAGAGAAGGAGGTGATCAGATAACAGAGGCAAGAGGACATGGACAAAGTGACGGAAATCAGAAGTGTCACACGACGCAGGAGGCCCTGGAAGATGGAGTCTGGAGAGGCCTGGGCATGGCCACGCAGGGGTTAATAGCAAACTGGGCTTCAGAGGAAACAGATCCGAGGATCAGAGAGGGCCATGGACCCTTACCTAATCCTTTGGACACTGGGTTGGCTTAGAGGAGCAGAAGCCAGATCCTGCCGTTCTGTTTTCCAGGCTGTGTCTCCATCGAAGGCCCGGCGTTCGTGAGAGGCCCGGAGAATGGATCGGTGACCATCCGATGTCGCTATAGCTCAAGATGGCAAGCCCACAACAAGTGGTGGTGCCGAGGGGCAGACTGGAGCACCTGCAGGGTCCTCATTCGAACCAGGGGGTCAGAGAAAGAGAAGAAGAGCGGCCGCTTGTCCATCAGGGACCACTGGAGGGACAACTCACTCCTGGTTACCATGGAGATGCTCAGGCAAAACGACACAGACACTTACTGGTGTGGTATTGAAAAGTTTGGAACTGACCGGGGGACCAGAGTTAAAGTGACCGTTTACTCAGGTAAGCACTTTTCCCGGGGGGGGGGGGTAAAAAGACTAAAAAGAAAGGCCTGGGAGTCTAGAAGACAGACAGACAGACAGACGGGACAGGGTGGTGACAGAAGTGAGGAAGGATAGCAGCCCAACATCTTTATCGATGCCAGCATCTCTCCAAGGAAGCCAGCTGACATGTGTCCTGACTGGCAGAGGTTGGTGTGGGGCTGGGGCTTAGACATCCCCCTCTGGGACCCATGTCCATCCCTGCTGCCCTGATGTCCTGCTCTCCTGCTGCTACACAGACCTAGAAACTCACATGCTTCCACTGGAGTCTTGGGGAGGCCTCGGATGCCTGAAGTCCTCAGCACAGCAAGCTGAGAAGTTTCTAGTTTTCCAAAACTTGTACCCTTCACCTGTCATTACATGGGACAGTGGGGGCCAGCTAAGGCATTGTGAGGGAGGGCCCCATCATTGAAGCCCAGGCCTAGACAAACCACAGTGACACTGGCCCCTCTGGAGGGACTGGACGTTCCTGGTGGCCACTTCTGCTTTTTCTGACTACAGAAGAATAAGCATGGCTGAAGGAAGACCCAGGCTTGCAAATGTTTAGTGGATGCTTTAAAAGAAATCAGAATCAGAGTCGCCCCTAGTCCTCCTGGCTTCTCCCCACCTCAGCCTCAATGAGGGACTCCAAGATCTCCTGTTGGTGACTGAAAAGCCAGCCCTTCCCACTTCCACCAGTTAGTCATGCTCAAACCTTCCTCAGCCCAGTGGCCACGCTGGCTCCTGAGAAGGCAGCAGGCAAACAATGTGGCCTTGGAATCAGCCCATGGGATGATGGGTCTGAAACCAGCAAGAGAGATGCTGAAGCCGCCTCCTGGGGGAAGTGAGGTACAGAAAGGGTCACGTCCAAAAAAGATTTCCCAAGAGGACAGAAAGGGTTCGAATAGGACATGTAGGCAGAAGACGGAGGGAGTAGCCAATGAACGTGCTCCATGCTGAGCTTAAAGTGTCCAGGGGGACTGGGGACAATAACCTGCGTGGTGATTGTGACCTCTTCGAGGATGCAAAGATGAAGCTGCTCAGCTTCCAAGTGTGATTGAAACCCATAAAGAAGGATTTGCTAGGTCAAGAGCTAGCCCAAAGGGCCAGTATAGGCCAGGAATGTCCAGCTGGGCTCAGGGATCCATGACCCAGCCACCCACTACAAGACACCCTATAGTTTCCTCACTGTAACATTTCCTTCCTCATAGTCACTCAGGATTTAACTAACATGTGCCTTCTTGCTCAGCAACCTCCAAGAGTCCCTCTGTCACTCACCACCCTAGCACTAGAAACTCGTTTCTCTGAGGTCATCTGTCCTTGAGCCATACTCGGGTACTATTTGGATGGAAAGGAACAGACTATGACTACAATCTTTCTCCTCCTTAATGTCTATGTCTATACATATATTAATTTCATTAATAATGAAAATGATGGAGGAAATGACTGTGTGGGAGTCAGATGGTTCAGTAGAAGCCAAAGGACTGTATCAAAGAGACCAGGTGTCCTAATGCAGGGGGAAAAGGCCTCCTGATGTGCTGGATAGTTTAATGTCATGGCACACGCTAGAGCCACTGGAGAGGGTAGAGCCTCAATTGAGAAAATCCCTCCATGATATCGGGCTGTGGGCAAGCCAGTAGGGCATTTTCTTAATTAGTGATTGATGGGGGGAGGGTCCATCTTATTGTGGGTAGTGCCATTTCTGGGCTGGTGGTTCTGGGTTCTATAAGAAAGCAGGATGAGTGTCTGGAAAGATGATTCAGCAGCTAGGGCACTGATTGCTCTTCCAGAGGACCCGGGTTCAATTCCCAGCACTTACTTGGCAGCTCACAACTGTCAGTAACTCCAATTCTTGAGGATCTGACACCCTCACACAGACACATGTGGGCAAAACAGCATTGCACATGAAATGTTTAAAAAGAAAGGAAACCTTAAGAAAGAAAAAGAGAAAGGAAGGAAGGAAGGAAAGAAGGAGGGAAAGAAGTCAGTTTGAGCAAGCCATGGGGAGCAAGCCAGTAAGCAGCACACTCCATGGCCTCTGCATCAGTTCCTGCCTCCAGGTCCTGCCCTGCTTGAGTTTCTGTCCTGGTTTTCTTCGGTGATGGACTGGGATGTGGAAGTGTGAGTCAAATAAACCCTGTCCTCCCCAACTTGTTTAGGTCATAGTGTTTTATCATAGCAATAATAACCCATGGAGACACCCATGGAGAACTGGTTGGCTGGGGTGCCATCGTGAACCATGTATGAGCCACCCCCAATCTGTTCCATAACGTATGACCACCTTTGCTTATGTCTAGTAGGAAAGGATACCATGTCTTCTAAGCTTTCAACTATGTCCACTGTGGACAGCGGTGCATATGTGATGTCTTCTGACTTGCACAAGAGGTGAGTCCTGCGGTTCTTTCTCCTTCCTCATCCCCATGGGTCCCTCCTACCAGGATGCCAAGCCCATGTCCCATCAGCAGGTGCCAGTGATTGTCACAGCCAAAATTCAAGGTCCCAAAGCCACCTCTGTCCCTGGTACTTCCCACCCACCATGGTCCCGTTTCAGCCCCACCAGAAAACTGCCCTGTAGAGCTGTCCATCACTACTCAGCCTTGGTGGCATTTGTGGCAGCCAAGGGGAGAGACATTTCCGTAGGGTCCCAGTCTCATCACAAAAGCAGGGCAAGGAGAGATTTGCCAACCTGGAGCCAGTGTTGAGGACAGAGTAAGCAAACACAATCCAGATATGGAGAACTCTAGGTTTCTGCTGATATAAGGGGAGCTATGAGAAATGAGAAGCCCAGAAAATAAAATTAGGACAAAGGGACAGGTCATGCCAAGATCACCTGGGGTCACTGAGGAGCCCTCATGGTTGGGTGGACCTTGGGGAAGTTCCCTGGGGGATCTTCCGAGTAGGATGTGGGCCTTCTGTTTCAGGCTGTGATGAGCTGGCTGTTGACTTGGGGGTTGGGGCATAATGGGGCTCAAAGGCATGGGACCCTGATGGCTGTGTCTTTCTCATAGGACCCACTACATACTCCTGATATTTGTGAAGGTTCCTGTCTTGCTCATCTTGGCTGGTGTTGTCCTCTGGCTGAAGGGGTCAACTCGGAAGATCTCTGAGGAACAGTGGATAGATACCCTCTGTAGCAATTTGGACTCCGAACTTCTGGTGAAGAACGTTGCCCCTTAGATTGAGATGGTTAGCAGAGCCTTTCTATTCTGGACTCTCATTCCACAGACCACACCATGGAAGAAACATCTTTAAGTCCTCAGTTGGTAGTGACTGAGGTTGGGTGCCCAGAGGGCTTGACCAGGCATGATCTCCAATCTGCACACCATGGGGCTACCGCTCAGGACCCCCCACCGAGCTGTTATCACACCTGAAGTACTAGTATCTTACTCCTCCTATACATCATCACCTGCCCTCTCCCATCTACCCACCATGGTCAGCCTGGGGTGAGAGCCGCAGCTGAAAAAGCTCGTTCAGAGCCTCAAACAAAAGCACAGGGAAGCAGAAGGGCATTCTAGATATCTATGCTGTGACTCTGACATAGAGAGCTCAGGGAAGGTGGGGCAGACAGACGTCCATCCTCTGTCTGTCCTGGACACTGAGCCCACCCCTAGCGTGCACTTCTGAGGAAAGGTGAGGAGTAAAGCCTGGCTGACAGGCCCAGGGTCTGGAGTGTGGAGAACTCAGTCATCCATGACTTGGCTGTGGGAACTGGGACTGCATTTCCCAGCAGGTGTGTTTTGCTCCAGGGCCAGGAGCAGAAGGCTGCATACCCTTTTATAGAGCTCTGGCCCACACAGACTCATGGCATGCTGGTTTCAACCAAAGGTTAGCCCGGAATGTAGCGGAGAGAGCCATGTGTCTCTTGACCTGAGTCCTCCCTATGGCCTGCACTGCGTCATCTGCTCTGCAGAGGAAATCTGTTTTTTGGTAGCTCCTCAGAGAAACTGCCAAAAGCACTAGCTAGGAAGGTAGAGACAGTGAGAATTGTCCTTTATCATAAGCTTCTTCTGCTTTTAACTGTGGTTGGAAGAAAAAGGAGCATAACGTGATTTTTCATGAAGTTCTCAGCACACAGCACAGAGCAGGTATGCACATTGCAAAGGCAGCAGATCTCTAGAACACTCGCATCTGGCAAGACTCAGACTCCAAACTCACTGGGCAAAACGTCTACCCCATCAGACCCTGGCTACCACAGCCTCTCACCATGAGTTTTGCTAATGAACCCGAGTGCAACCATGAGGCATTTGTTATTCTGGGGTTGCTTTATTTTAGCATCAGGTCCTCGAGGATCCTCCATCTTCTAGTAGATGACAGAATTCCATTATGTTAAATGCTAAGTAATATTCCACTATGTGGATATGCGACTCGTTTACTAATAGGTTCCTTGGCTGTTATTACTTGGCCTCTGTGGACAATGAGACTGGGTGTGTTGGTATCATGTTGAGATGCTGTCTTCAATTCTCTTGGATATGGTCATGTGAGTTAATCTTGATTGCTGATTTGGCTGAGTTTAAAGTCACCTGTGAGACACGCCTCTAAGCTTTTCTATGAAGGTGCTTCCAAGGAGGTTTAACTGAGAAGGGATAGATCCACCCTGATGCAGGCACTCACCATCCCATAGCCCAGGGTCTCAGACCGAATTAAACACTGAGAAAAGGGAGAAATCAAACCGAGCACCAGTTGGTTCTTCTCTCTCTCTCCTTCCTGAGGATGAAGTGTGGCTATGCAGCCCATGATCTGGCCACTACAGCTACATCTATCTACTCCTGCTGCCAGGGCCTCCCCAGCATGATGGACTGTAACCTTCAAACTGTGAGCTAAAGTAAAGCCTCCCTCCCCCCCCCGCAAGTTATTTTCATGTATTTTGTCACAGCATTGAGACCAGTAACTAGCATGTATACCCAAGAGTACTACTGCTGGGTCACATGGCAATGTTCATTGTCATTTTTTTAATGATCTCTATATCATTTTTAATAATTTTATGTTCCCACCAATAGGATGTAAACAACCCAATTTCTCCACATCCCTCTATATCCATTGTTTTTTGTCTACTTATTTCTACTTTCCTGATAATTGGAGATGTTGGGAATCTTGCCAAAATCTTACTATTCAAGTCCTTTGCCAAAAAAAAAAAAGTTCTTTTTTAAACACTGTAACTTCCATTCATTGATTATGTGATTCTCTGTGCTATGAGTGCAGTGCTTGCAGAGGCCATAAAAGGGCATCGGATTCCCTGGGACTAGAATGACAGGTGGCAGGGAACTGCCTGAAGTAGGTGCTGGGGATGCCGTTTGGGACCTCTGGGGATGCCGTTTGGGGCCTCTGAGGATGCCGTTTGGGACCTCTGGGGATGCCGTTTGGGACCTCTGGGGATGCCGTTTGGGACCTCTGGGGATGCCGTTTGGGACCTCTGGGGATGCCGTTTGGGGCCTCTGGGGATGCCGTTTGGGACCTCTGGGGATGCCGTTTGGGGCCTCTGGGGATGCCGTTTGGGGCCTCTGGGGATGCCGTTTGGGGCCTCTGCAAGAGCAGTGGGCTTTATTGACTGCTGGTCTGTTGCTCCAGCTCCTTTTCTATCTACTTTCTAGTCAGATCATTTTCCTATATATCCCAGATATAACGTCTCTTCAAATGTATTATTGTCAAACATTCTCTCCCACTCTATCACTATTCTACTGAGAGTGTGGCTCTTTTTGTCAAATATGGAGACAATGGATAATTTATGGCAGGGGAAGAAAAAAAATGACTTAAAACAACCTGGCTGCAAGAAATAGGTAGAGGATTTCACCTTTTATAAGAAGATTTTAGTGGCCAGGTGTGGGGGCACATGGCTTTAATCCCAGCACTCAGAAGGCAGAGGCAAGCAGATCTCTGTGAGTTTGAGGCCAGGCTGGTCTACAAAGCTACACAGGGAAATGCTGTCTCAAAAGACAAAAGCAAAACAAAAATCCCAGCACTCAGGAGGCAGAGTCAGGCCCTGTGAGTTCAAGGCCAGCCTGGTTTACAGAGTGAGTTCCAGAACACCTGTTTTGAAAAGACCAGAAAAAGAAAGAAGAAAAAAAAGAAAAAAGAAAAGATTTAACCATATATACCTGCATATAAAATAGACTGTCACATACCAAACTATCAATGTGATTTTCATTAAGTGAATAAATATTCTTTCCTTTACTTTTGTGGACTTGTTTGTTTATACTAAAGTCTCACATATCTCTGGCTGCTGTTGAATTTATTATGTATCTGAGGATGGCCTTGAACTCACTCAATGATCTTTCTGCCTTCACCTGGAAACTGCTGGAATTACAGGTGTGTAACTTCACACACAGTTTTATATGGTGCTGGGGATCCAACCCAGGCAAACACTCAACCAACTAAGCTACATTCCAACCTGATTTGCAATTAAAGTTTAAAATCTTTTTTCTTTTTGACAATTTCACATTATGTGTACAAGGTATTGTCATGTCCATCCCTACCACCGTCTCTCATCCTCATCTCAATCTTGCTAACCCCCCTCTTCTCAACGAGTCTCCCTACTTTCATGTCACAGCTGCTGTGTGCTCACAATTGCAACAGGGACATCAGGTCCAGAGTACAGCATTTCTCTGCGCTCCTTCCAACCTTCAACTCTTACATTCTTTCCAACCTTTGTGGGATGTTACCTTAACCATGTAAAGCTGTGTTACATTTGTTTATGCTGTGGAACATTACCTTAACCATATAAAGCTGTGTTACATTTGTTTATGCTGTGGAACATTACCTTAACCATGTAAAGCTGTGTTACATTTGTTTATGCTGTGGAACATTACCTTAACCATGTAAAGATGTGTTACATTTGTTTCAACTTGCCTGCCTGATTGGTCTAATAAAAAGCTGACCCACCAATATCTATGCAGTAGAGGGTTAGGTGGGGCTGGCAGGCCGAGATAATAAGTAAGAAGAGAAATCTAAACTCAAGAGAAAGGAGAACCAGAGGGAAAGAAAGGAAGGGGCTGGGGGCCAGACAGACAGACAGACAGACATAGAGGAAGCAGGAAAGCAGGACGTACAGAATGAAAGAAAGGTAAAAAGCCCCAAGGCAAAATAGAGATAAAGAGAAATAGGTTAAAATGAATTGTAAAACCTAGTAGGACAAGCCTAAACTAAAGCCAAGTCCATTGCCCATTCATAACTAGTAGGTTTCCATGTCATGATTTGAGGGCTGGTGGTCTAAGAAAGCCTGTTATAAACGATTGTTCTTCATTGTTCCCTGGGCTTTAGAGAGGGGTGATACAGATGTCACGTTTAAGGATGAATGCCCACAGTCACTTATTCTCAGTACCCATTATGAGTTTCTTCTTCTCTGACCAAAGCCAGTGCAGCACCGGTCTACAGACATGAACACAAATGTTTAGAAAGCAGTTTGACTATGTTTCCCTTTGGCAAAATATCAGAGTGGTTTTGATCACGTTTATGGTTCTAGGCTTTCACTAGTTCCCATGGAGTGGCTTCAGATTCCAGCAGAAAGTGGTTGTTTACCCCCAGAACAATGCCCCTTTGGCATCAATGAGTCTACCTTGCCTGGCAGGTTGCTACTGTAACATTTAGGGTTCACATTTGTGTAAGGCCACTGTAAGTTTCCACTAACTGCCTACATTGCACATTTCTGTTCTATTAGCTACCAAGGAGAAGCTGCCATCAAGTTCCAGCTTAATTCCTCTGTGTCCTGTAACCATACTGTGTGATGTCTTCAGCAATAAAGTAAATTACACACACACACACACACACACACACACACACACACACACACACACATTCCTTATTATTTTGTGTGTATGAGTATTTTGCCTGAATGTATGCACATGTGCCACATGCTTGCCTGGTGCCATAGAAGCAAAAAGCAGATCCTGTAACCCCCACAACTGGAGTTAGATGGTTGTGAGCTGCTGTATGGATGCTCAGAACTGAACCCAGGACCTCTGCAAGAACAACCAGTGCTCTTAACCACTGAGCCATCTCACCAGCCCCCAATGTTATGTGTGTGTGTACGTGTGTTTGCAAGACACGGTCTCTCTGTATTGCTTTGGAACCTGTCCTGGAACTAGCTCTGTAGACCAGGCTGGCCTCCGAAGTGCTGAGATTAAAGGCATGTGCCACCAGGGCCTGGCCACCAATTATATTTTTTAACACTCCCATTTTGCTCATGTTTCTGCTTTGCTCATAGGTAGGCAATTTCGAATCTACCACAATAGGGTCTTATATTTAGCTCCCCTCCTGGAAAGGTCTCAGCCTTCTTCTCCCAGTTCCATAGACCATCTCCCAGCCCTTGCCTCCTCATCTCAGGACATTCACCTCTTCCTCTGTGCCCTCACTCTTAGCTACACAGAAGTTTAAGCTGCTTTGTTTGACCTTTGTGGGTGGACTGATGCAAGTTCCTTCCTGTTTTCTGCCCATCACCTCATCATTATCTTTATCCTAACACTGGTTCCTCTTGGTTCCCAGGAGCTACATAGCATATAGTCATCACACTCGCCCCAGGGACTGCCATGGAAAAAATGAATTATCTCTTCTAAAATGATCCAAGAGCCCCTCTTCCCATGCCTCTCTTGAAGTTTCGCTGTCTGGTTCAGACTCACGGGATCACCTTTAACCCCACCAAAGGCAAAATGATTGGGAACGCCTTGCAACTGGAGTACAATCCTCTGCCAGGTCACACTCCGACAAAACATCACCGTCTTGGTGTGGCAGGTGGGCAGGGGGCTGCTCCACAAGCTTCGCTCTGTCCCTGGACTTCTCACGGGCTCTCCAGGTCCTGCCTCTTAGTCTGTGTGAACACAGCAGCTCCTAGCTCTCTCTCTCATCCTATCTCAACAACGAGGCATCACGAAAAAGCGACCAGAATACACAGAAAAGCATCCCCTCTCCTGCATACGCCTGGCAGTCAGGTTGCAGGTGACTTTTGTGGCTGAGTTCTCTGTAAGATGCTGCCTTAGAAATCTGACCTCTCCTCAGCCTCTCAGCTCAGACTCTTCCAGAACAAGGTAATACTTCTCTTTGCAATGGGAGGTTCCATGAGGACACTGGCTTCTCACAGCTGAAGGCTAGGTGACCACTGCTTTCCTGATATTTGTGACAAACCCAATCCCCAAATTCCTGCCAATCACTCAGTAGTCAACATTGAGGCTTTATTTAGCTGACAAATTTTCCCTCAAATCTATTTGTCAGGGAACAGCTGTCTCTCCAGTGTTAACGAGGGTCCCCTCTCTGACTCTGGGGAGGATAAGTCTTAATTTTGGTGTACCCACAGATGGCATCAGGCAAAGGAAGATGGAGCACTGCTGACATAGGCTTGGGAGAAGGAAATGGCAGAAATCCAACCAGTGCTGTGACACCCAGCATGATGGAGCTGTTCAGCCGAGCCTCCATCTTGGACATAATTACTCTTAGCCATCAGTCATAGCCATGTATCTGGGTGATCAGAGATGCAACAAGATGTCACCTGCCATCAACTCTCTTATTTACATAGGAGAGGGAATGCTCTGATGTGGCTTCCAATGACTCGTTTGGTATTAATCTTTTTGTGAGCCGTTGGCATGCCACTTTCCGCTTCCCACAGCAACTAACCCTGGAAAACTCCTAATGAATAGTCTTGCTAGGATAACAAATTATCATTATCAACACTGCCCTCTGTCTGACTCACAGATGCGCCACCCAGTTCAGGACACCGAAGATCCATGAATACTATTTCAATTGATCCCACAGAGCAACTATGGGAAGAAGAGGTCCAGCTCAAAGTGTTCTCCATGCACCTTAAAGATGTACAGAACCTTCACCGTGACGACTTTGTGGGAGACACTTTCCTGACCACAAAGAGAGGATGGGCTGACCAGAGGCAGTATGAAGCTGTGACCTGAGATGGAGTGGCGGATATATAAGGTGGAGGACAGCAGGCTTGATGGAGCACACACAGGAAGCCATATGCGTTCTGCCTATCGTGGAGCCAAGGTATATTCCTGCTTCGAGGCCATTCTCCTGTCTTCGCCTCCCATCTCACAGATGTGCACCACAGCAATCCTGCTTTCTCACATTTGGTTCTGGGGACTAAACTCAAAACAGTGGCAAGCACTTCTGCCCCCCTGAGTCGTCTGGCTTGCTCCAGGCTTCTCATGGTCCATTTCTACAC